TAAGGGAAAAGAAGTCAGTGCCCCTGATTAAATAGTCAGGTATTGCATGTTTTAAAAGTTCTTGTGGCACAGTGTTTGACAATTGCTGTTACAGATAATCAAATCCTGTCTTATAGGAGTTGGGGAAAAAACACTGTGAGGTGAAGATTTAAAATTACTATTGGTTTCCAAGACACCTGAGGCATTAGTTCAGTTCATTAAAGTTGGTCTGTGAAAGGTAGAATTAATTACAGGAGAGTACTAAGGTTTCTTTGTAGAAAAATGGACCACCTTAACTCACTAGTCCTCCAACTCTTCAATGTGGTTAGATTGAGAAAAAAGGGAGTGACTATGATAAAAAAAATAGATCTTTTCTGGCTGGCGTAGCTCAGTGGATTGAGCGCGGCGAACCAGAGTATCGCATTTCGATTCCCATTCAGGGCACATGCCTGGGTTGCAGGCCAGTTCCCAGCAGGGGACGCATGAGAGGCAACCATACATTGATATTTCTCTCCCTCTCTTTCTCCTTCCCTTCCCCTCTCTCAAAAAAAAAAAAATTAAAAAAAAGTAGATCTTTGATAACCTGACTGCCTGGTAATAAAAAAGTTTTACCTACTTCTTGGGCAGGATTGCTTGGGAAGACTGTAGCTGATTAAAGATTCAAGTGTCTGGGATATGTGATTAAAATATGACACTTCACACAGCTTATCACACTTTCTAATCGTACTTCTGTTTAGTGATTGTTTGATGGTTCCCCCAATAGACTGAAGGTTCCGTGAGTTCAGGAATTATATCTTACTTTGTCCTCAGCATGTAGTATAGTCATTGAACAGGTGCTCAATAAATATTTAATGAGTAAATAAAAGAGCTAAACGATAGTCATTTGAGTAGTTAAATTTAACATGCTAATAAAGTGTATGTGGAAAAGAGTTAACATAGCAGGCCTTGGACTGCCGTCCTCAGAAAGGTCTGCTCGCAAGGGTGGCCATTGGCTGAAATCTGGGAACTTGGATGTCGAATTGGTCCTGAAATCATAAAGGTGGTTTACTGTCCCTAGAGTTGTTTTCCTTTTGGGAGTCTGGAATTTGATACATGCTAGGCAGAGGGTGCCTACGTGATCTTCCCCCATGAAAACCTTGGCTGCTGAGTCTCTAGTGGGCTTTCCTGTGCAGAAACGTTGTACATGTTACCACACTGTCTTTGTTGGGTGGAGAATGTGTACTCTAACTGGTTCTTTGACAGTGACAGCACAAGGAAGCATGTAGATTTCTCTAGACCCTCCCTGTAACCTTTTCTTTTGTCATCCAGCTGAGTATCCTTACTGTGTTTCTATAATACAACCAAATGCTGAGTCCATGAACTACAGGAAATCTCTGAACATGGGGATGATCTTGGGACCCATGACACCAAGAGATGATTTTTGCGGAAATAGTTCCATTATGGTATAATAGATCTGGAAATTGTTGGTCTTTATTCAGGAGTGACTAATAACGTGCCCAGCCATGCACAGTTACAAGAATGAAAAACAGGTATACTTAGGGAGTTAATTGTTTGCTAGAAGAGAGAGATCATTATGATTTATGTTAAAATGGATGTAGAGTCAGGCTACTGAGGGAGAAGAATTAAGAGATCCAACTTTGGGATGCTGGTGACAATTGTACTGCAGTGATGCCATTTGAACTAATATTCTGAGTATTAGTGGAGTATCAGGCAGTAAAACCAGTTTGGACTCAGATTGTGAAGTCTTGGAGAGTGATGTGACTAGAGCATCATGTTTCAGGAACTTGTCTTTATTACCATATATTCATTAGTTAATATTGCTGAAGTCCTCTCTTAGTTTCTAAAAGCTATTTTCCTTTTTTGTAGTTATTAAGAAATTTATGATTCAGGGTGGAGACTTCTCAAATCAGAATGGGACAGGTGGAGAAAGTATTTATGGTGAAAAGTTTGAAGATGAGAATTTCTATTATAAGGTAAAGTAGACAAAGTGCATGTTATGATAACAAAGGGTGTTATGTGTGGACACTTGTTGGGTTACGACACACTAAATGTCTCAAGTGGGCTTAGACTCTTTTGGAAAAGGTATCATATTTGTAAACGTGCATCTTTGATATGGAAAACTTTCATCCGGTACATGATTTAGAAAAAACGCTACAGTTATTTTAGTGTGATCCAAGTTTACACACTTCAGTAAAGCTAATGAGTTTTTAAGTGGCCACAGTATGGCAAAATTGCTTCCAGGAAAAATGTTCTCATTATCAGAAGAATGGTAACTTGTGCATCTTTATGCTTGAATTTGAAGAGCAACAAAACCATCGCTAATATCCAGGATGTCAGGGGATTTGCAGACTAGAGGATATGGTTAATGTACAAGCTCCTAAAGGACATTAGTGGTGCCTGTGCCTTCTTACCTTCATTGTCCCAAGATGTAATCGGGTTATATTGCATCATTCAAGTTATAAGAATGGACATGTAAGTACAAAAGTAAAGTGATGTCTTTGGAAATGAGGAATATGAACAAGGTAATCAGGATAACTTGAGAAGAAAATCTTATTTTATAGAGCAATGTTCATGGACTGCAACTACGTGTGTTTAATATTGTTACTGGCACCAAAGGATTTGTAAAAATGAAAGGACTCGATGGCAAGGGATTTGTAATTTTATTGGAGGACAATATTAAAACATGGGACAACTGGATGATACCTCTAGTCTGAAAATAAGTGCTAAATTGATGGAGACTTTCTATAGGCACTGCAACAGAAAGGTGGGATTTACGTGGTGGAAATTACTAGGGAAGACATTGAGGGAGAATGGTTGTACATAAGTTGGGCAAACTGGCCGAGCAAGGTGGCTGCGATTTGGGTAGAGGGAAACAAACAGGATGCCCATCAGTGTGAAGGAGGGATGTGAGTGAGGGAAGACAAAGGCAGTAGGCGGCTGAGGAAATAAAGTTAATATTCTATTTCATTTCATGGGGAAAGTACCAAACTTTGGAAAGGAAAAAGGCAAGCTAGCAGAAAGCATGAAGACTACGGTTATGTGATGATAATGTTGATCTAACGAAAGGAGGCCTGTTGAGAGGACAGAGCAGTTCTTACCTTCTACAGTGCTGTAACCTTGAAGCCGAATTAGATTTAGATCGGAGGGGTGAAAGGCATGTTAGTGTTTGGCCCAGTAAAGAATAGTAACTTTACAAACTTGAGGATAAGTGGAAAGATCAAACTGTGTTTCAGCAGAATCTTTGATACAAGGTTGGTGCCAGGAAGAACTTTGATTCCCGTATGTGTGTTTGCAGCAGTTTCTTTTGGGCATTCTCTGGAGAAATGATTTACCTGGGATGAAAGCCATAGATTTTGGGTTCTTTTGAAATTAGGGAAGTACCTGGTAAAATGTCCAGACTGAATTGAATAACCTGTCACTGTCCCCAGTTTATTGAAGTGTAAAGGAAGAATCATCATGTGGGCCCATAAAGTGGGAAAGCTGTTTAGTGCTTCTCAGGAAAAAAAAAAGCATCCACTAGAAAATAAAAAGGCAAAGTCTAATTACTGTATTTCCTTAATGCAGCATCTTCATCTTAAGGATGAAATAGAAGCATTTTAGAAGTGCACCTTCCACTTTTGTTCCTGTTACTGATTTCATAGGTTTTCGAAAGTTTAAAGTGATTAAATAATCCTACATTTTGTGAATTAAAGGTTGCAATTTATACAATTAAGGGTTGCAATTTATACAGAGTAAAATTACACAAATACTATTTGATCTAAATTACAGTCTACCTTAGTTTCATGTGAATGAACAATTCAGACTAGAACCTCTAACCTTGGTTTTCTTTCAATGATTTTTATTTCTACAGCATGACCGGGAGGGTTTATTGAGCATGGCAAACGCAGGCAGCAATACAAATGGTTCTCAGTTCTTTATCACAACAGTTCCAACTCCTCATTTGGATGGGAAACATGTGGTATTTGGCCAATTAATTAAAGGAATGGGTGTGGCAAGAATTCTGGAAAATGTAGAAGTGAAAGGTGAAAAACCTGCCAAAGTAAGTACAAAGTTTTATCGTAGTTGCTGATTAAAGAAATATAAGTAAAAGGACCTGATGATTATTAGCTGGGAAAATGTAAGTATTTTTGGTATAGAAACCTGTGTGTGCAACTTCTTTTAAATTCAAGAAAAGGTTAGGGGACTTAAAAATGTTTTTTAAAAAATTATTTTAATTTTAATCTTGGTGATTTAAGTCTTCCTGTACATGGAAAATTTTGAGTCAATCTGTACAGTAGTACAGGGGACAGGAAATGAAGAATTTGTCTAGACTCTGATTTAATTGGTGGTTTGGCTTTGATCTTATTAAACTCTTCTTGGCCTGTGATTCCTCATCCTACATATATTAAAGGTTTAAACTAGATTATGGAACTTAAAGGTCCTCTTGTTCCAAATATTTGCAAATCAAAATGAAAATACTATTGCCCAACCTAGTTGGTAGGGTTGTGAGAATTGGAAGTTCAGATACCTGCAGAAGGTAGGCTGTCTGTCACTCAGTGTATGAAGGAAACAGGGCATTGAAAGTTACGCCCCATCTAAAGAAAATTGCATAGAAAATAAGATATTCAACTTACTTTGTGTATACTGAGATGCTGAATAGCAATAAAATAATTTTTAAAATAGTGACAGTGTTCTGTTACTTGAAATGTTTATAAAGGGCACTCACCTAATTAGAGCATCTTGTAAGGGCATTTCATCTCATAGATGAGCCTCCTAGAATCAGCCTGTTATTTCAGAAGTGACTTGGACCATGTTGCACATGACTTGTACCTGTATAGCTTTTAAACCCAGATTTAAAAAAAATGTACCATTAATAAAGTAGTGGACTACTACAATTTAGGATTATTTTTACAGTTGTGCATTATTGCAGAATGTGGAGAACTGAAGGAAGGGGATGATTGGGGAATATTCCCAGAAGATGGTTCTGGTGATAGGCACCCAGATTTCCCCGAGGATGCAGATACAGATTTAAAAGACGTGAGTACTTTCAGATTAGTCAAACTTTAATACAATTACTAAAAACATTTTGTGCTAAAATTTTGAGATTTTTGTGTTGATCTGTGTTAGTGATAGAAGCTAGCCTTAAACCACATTACTCATTAAAACCCGACATGTTTTATTCTTTTATACAGGTAGATAAAATATTATTAATAACGGAAGACTTAAAAAACATTGGAAATACTTTTTTCAAATCCCAGAACTGGGAGATGGCCATGAAAAAATACTTAAAGGTTTTAAGGTAATAAAGCATTTTTAATAAATTACTTTTAAGAACTTGAATTATAAACTGAAATTCAGGAGTTGCTTGTTGTATTTTTGGTAAATTACTTGCAAAGCTACCAGGTATGTTAAAATAACTGCATTTTTTTGGTTCCCTCTAGCTTCTTATTTTGAAAATTTTCCTGATACAGAAAAGTTGAAAGAATTGCACATGAATGAATGCTTGTGTACCTTAACCTACATTCACTGGTTCACTTTAGCTGTATTTGTTTTTGCATGATCAGTTTTGAAAGGAAGTTGCAGATACCATGGCACATTACCTCTAAATATTTTAGCAATTATTTCCTAACAAATGGATATTCTTCTACATAAACTTACTGCCATGAAAACACCCCAAATACCATTGATACAATATTATTTGATAGGTACTCCACATTAAATTTCCCCAATTTTTTTTTCTAAACTCCAGGGGTTTTTATATCCTTTGCTTTTATGTCTCTACTTTAATCTTTAATAGACCCTTAAGTTTTTTTAGTCATTTGCATTTTGGGGAGTCTGAAGTAGGAGGTCCTGGCCATCAGTGTTTGATTGCTTCCTCAAGACTAGGGTAAGGATAAATACTTTGGCAAGAGGACTTAAGTAGGTGATGTGTACTTTGTATGATACTGTATATTGACAGCATGTCAGTTTGGCCTAATCTGAGTTTGGGCTCTTGATTAAAGTGGTGTCAGCCAGGTGTCTGTGTTATACAAGTGCCTTTTCCCTTTTGTAAACAATAAGTACTCTGAGATGGTACTGTGAGATTATATGCATATTCAGCTTTTTACCTTTCATCCAGTGGTTTTACATTATTGAAGATGCTTGCCTAAGTCAGTTATTACATTGCTGGTTGTAGGACCGTGACTTTCTAATTTGATCACTCATTTTACAGTTATTAGCTGGCATGCTTCTGTTTGAAAGAGTGTCCCTTCTACCCCCATTTTTAGTATCCTCCTATAGACCTGGGGATTTTTTTTCCAGTTCAGCCCCTTACACCATTACCATCATTTATTTCTGGACCTCAGAGGGTTCCAGATTTTTCTAATGGAAGCCCCCGTTTCTACATCCTTTTGACATATTCCTCTTAGACTGTGCTCACTTGGCTTACTTTTCTGGCACAAGATGTTCCAGGCTTATCTTCCACTTAACCTGTTTCTAGGTCTGGTATCAGCGATCTCTTCAAGGAGCCCTGATTCTTTTCAGTGGGGGGTAGACTTTAGAACACAAATCCTGGGGACCGGGTATGCTCATTGTTTCTGAGCCCTTTTCAGTGGACTGAGCTCTAGGAACTGTGTTAAGTGACAACTCAAAACTTTGACAACTCTTCACCTTTCCCATTACATTCCTGGCCCCACAATGAGAACCTTGCTTTTAACAGAGATCTGGTGTTTTAAAAATAGGAAGCGTTAATACTGTATATCTTTAAATTTGGGCACTATTATTCTTAATTTGGCCTGTTGGAACACTTTGGTAGAAAGTTTGGAACAGACTTTTTAAAAAAAAATGTTGAGCCCTGGCCAGGTGGCTCAGTGGCTTGGAGGATCATCTGAACACCAAAAGGTTGCAAGTTTGATCCCCTGTCAGGGCTCATGTCTAGGTTGTAGGTTTCTCCCTCACATTGATGTGTGTTTCTCTCTGTCCTTACCTCAGGTGAGGATTAAAAAAAATAAAGCAATTAATGAAAAGAGTGAATATTAAGAATATCAATTATCAGGCCCTGGCTGGTGTAGCTCAGTGGATTGAGCGCGGGCCTTCGAACCACACGATTCCCAGTCAGGGCACATGCCTGGGCTGCAGGCCAGTTCCCAGCAGGGGACGCACAAAAGGCAACCATACATTGATGTCTCTCTCCCTCTCTCCTTCCCCTCTAAAGATAAATAAATAAAATCTTAAAAAAAAAAAGAATATCACTTATCAGCATTTGATGAACTTTTTATATCAGGAATGGCATAACATTTTTTTGGCATAGTTGAAGAATCAGACTTAAGTCTCTTGCAGCATTACATGTCACTTTTACTAATGTGTTTTCCAGATACGTGGAAGGTTCAAAGGCTGTAACTGAGGAAGTAGATAGATTGAAGTTGCAACCTGTAGCTTTAAGCTGCATGCTGAATATTGGTGCTTGCAAACTGAAGATGTCAAATTGGCAGGGAGCAGTTGACAGTTGTTTGGAGGTAAATCTGTAGATATTGAACTTTTTGACAGGGTTATGTCATAACTTAGAACTTCAAGGGAAGCAGTTTTATGTACATTCATATATCATGGCACAGGACCTAATGAGACTCTATAAAACACAATATCTCATTTTATCTAAGTATTTTGAACCTTCAGTTTTCCTCTTAATCCATTTACTTAGCTTGTTATGTTGCTTAATACCTATGAGGATACTCTTCCTTTTTTTTCCCTTAAAGCACATGTACTAGCTCACTTACTCATTTCACATGTTGAATACCTAGTATGTGCTGGGCATTGGAAGACAAGTCCAGGAATGAGGAAGAATGTGGGTGTGGAGTCGGTCATACATTTAAAAAAAAAAATTAGACCTTTGTTACTTACTTCGTGATCTTGGGTAAGTTCCTAATTTAGAAGGTCTTATATTGTCAATGGAAGGTAATACCTGCCTCATGGGATAGTTATGAGGACTTGAACATGTAAAGCATTTAGCACAGTGTGGGGCCCATTGTTAAGCACCCAAACTAAAAGACAGACCCATAGTGTCAAGGAACATTTTATTTGGCTCTCTTGATGGAGACATCCAGGACTACTAACTATAAAAGCTAGAAAGGTGCCAGAATTACCTTCCTTAAATAGAGCAATTATGACTCCCTATTGTAGAACTGAAAAATTCCCAAACTAAACCATGAATTTTAAAAGATCACCCCCAGTAATTTTAATGCACATTGAGCTATGTACATAGACCAGTTATGTCCAGAGCAAGTGGAAACAAAATGAGATCCCAATTTGGTAGGGTTGAGTAGGGGTAAGAATATATTTAGAAAGAAGCATACAGCAGGGGGAAAAATGTTACCAGAGAAAATGATTAGTCTTCACCAATACCCTGGATCTTTTTGACCTTTTTGAGGCAGATAATAACTTTTTTCAGTAAAATCTGAGTATTGACCTTTAAAAGATATTAAGTAAACAAAATACATTATTTTAAAAATATTTGTTTCAGAGGAGAGATCTATTAAAAGTTATTCATGCTCCAAAAAAATAACCTAGATTTTAAGTAAAAGAATGTATACAGGTTTTAATTCAAAATGGCTTATCAGCTAGGGCTGAATCAGGAAATAAAAACTACACAGTAATTTTGAAGAGAAAGTTTAAAGTAAAAGAAAAATATAATAAGAGGGAACAGGAATAATAAGGGATTGGCTAGTAAAGAGAATTCTAAAGTTATAGGAATGGCAGATATACATTGCAAACTATAGGAGCTGCTTAGGCTGGGATGGAGCCCCCAGGAAGAAGCACATCTCAAGATCCCTGAGATCCAGACCTCCTTGGAAAGGGGATGGCTGTGGCTCACTGGGTGGCAGAGGTCTTCATGAGCACTGCTTGTGGGATTCACTAGAGTGCTTGCAGCATTGCCTGTGGGGAGCTGCTGAGTGCTATTGACCAAGCTGTGCTGGAATCTAATGAGAGGAACATCCTGGAACCTGGAAGAGAAACAGCTTCCTCTTCCATGTCCATGTAGCTCCCTCTACTGACAAAACTGAACATTGTGCCAACTGGCAGAGGAGAGATGTAGAGGGTCCAGTTCCATACAGAGCAGAGAAGGCTTGATTTGCAACTGACAGACAATAAATTGAAATCTAGCACATATGTTTAATGTTTGCTGTATTTTTGAAGGCTCTTGAAATAGACCCGTCAAATACCAAAGCACTCTACCGTAGAGCTCAAGGATGGCAAGGATTAAAAGAATATGACCAAGCATTGGTAAAATTCTGTTCTAAATTTCAAATTTTAAAAAGACAACCATCTTCATAAATCAAACACCTAATATTTCTTAAAAATATTTTTCCAATTAAAGGCTGATCTTAAGAAAGCTCAGGAGATAGCACCAGAAGATAAAGGTAAGTTGGCGGTTTTTGTAGAGAAAGTTCACTTAGTCCTTTAAGAATTTATCCTCATGAAATATTGTACCCTTTGCCACTTAGATGTAGACACTTATATTTGTTCAACAGCTGTTACAGAATGCCTGTCATTGGGCCAGCCACTGCCGTACTGCACTGAATAAGTCAGGGTCTGTCCTCAGAGAGCTTACATTCTAGTCCCTCTCCAGAATGCAAATATTCGCATACCTGAATACTATCTGTTCTGTATCATTTGAGATTTAGTTCCTCTTGGTTTGATTCTAGTCAGAAGTGCAGTACTAAAAGAATATTATGGTGAATTTGATGTTTAGGATCATTTCTTAAGCTGAATGCAGCCATAACCTAAATATTCTAGCTAACAGATTTACGTTTTAGGAAAGCTTTGGGACACTGAGAAAAATAAGTTTGTCTTTCAAATGTACCAATTACTAATAGTGTTATTACAACCAGATATTAAAATGTATCTTTGAGGGGGTGGGCAGGAGGGGTAGGGAGAAAATACAGACAACTGTAATTGAACAACAAAAAAGGTTTAAATGAAAAATGTCTTTGGTTTCTTTAGTACTAAAGTAAGACAGAGGAGGCACTTAACTGCCATCTCTAATGACGGAGGAGAAGGCAAATTTGTAGGTCATTTCAAAATCTCTCGATTGACAGTCTTTGAAAATTTTGCTTTGTGATTTTTGTATTTGTGTTTACTTTCCCAGTGTAAAATATTCTGTTAATAGGGCAAGAAGAGTTTTATCAAGGGGGAATTAACTATCATACTAAAACATCACTTTGTTAGTCAACCTCATTTTTTGGATGTTTGAAAAATAATTCATATTACATATTTATTTTGCAGCTATCCAGGCAGAATTGCTCAAAGTCAAACAAAAGATAAAGGCACAGAAAGAAAAAGAGAAGGCAGCATATGCAAAAATGTTTGCCTAATAAGGAATTTGGTTATACTTAAGTATTACACATTGATGTATAAAGGCAATAAGAGAATTGAAGGGTTTTTGTCTAATATATGTTGCTTTTAATATGTTTGCTCTGGTAGTTCAGTTCCCATTGTGTACAGTTTAGACATACAGATACCTGTTCACTCTGAATAAAAGTGTTACAAACTACAGTGAAGTTGATTTTTTCATGGCCATCTACATTATTCACAAATAATGATGTTCAACCTAAAGATACATCTTTGTTGAATAAACAGACAAAAGCTTAAGTTTTTATATAATTTCCCTCGATTTGGTAATGTAGCTCTGCAGACTGTGGTTGGTTTGTGCTGCTGTTTGATACCTACAGGTAATACAGATACGTGTACGTTCAGGGGTCAGCAAGCTTTCTCTAAAGGGCCAGGTCATTAAATTTTGGGACCACTCTATTCTATAACTGATTTTTGCAGTTGTAGCCATAGACAGTATGTAAACCAGTGGGCATGCCATGCCTACGTTCCAGTACAACTAAGGAAAGTGGTGGGCCGGATGCCAACCTCTGGTCTACGATATGCATTTATTTTTATATTTGAAGAGTTGAATTTGATGAATCCAAATGTACATTAGAAAGGTCAACAGTTTATTCTGCTCTTGGTACTGAATCATTGAAGAGTTAAGTAGATGGTACGTCACTTAGGAAGTTTTAAGATAAATACTGATAATTTTTTATGGGACAATTTTTAGCTATAGTATAAAATTTTTTATTTCTCTGATACTTTATGAACATGGTGATCAATAATATGCTGTGAGATGTCTTGACACTTGTTAATGTCTCAACATTTTAAAGTTAGCTTACCATACACTTTAGAGAAAGTGGCTATCAGACTTGCCTGCAAACGAAATCAGTTGCAGTTTACATTCCATTGTAAGCAGGTCCGCCACCACCTTCGGGTACCACCCAGTTAATGTTCTGACTTGGGTCTTTAATGTCACATGTTTTACAGTGTACACAGTTCTGAGCATTTATCTGTAATCGGAATCCATCGCTTTGTTCCAAAGGTACAAATTCATAAACTCCTGTGAGGAGAAATAAACAATATTGTGAAGTACCTTTTTTAACTTTCGAAATTCAAAAATAGAAATTGAAGTCCAAAAAACAGCTACAGAAACTGTGAAGGTTTGTTTAAGGTCTTGGTTGCTTTTGAGTTACAGTTTTATACGTGTGTGTGTGTGTGTGTGTGTGTGTGTGTATAAATGTTCTATATGATGCTATAGCTGAAAAGACAAAATAGATGCAGTCCTTATCCTCTTCTGGTATAATGACAGAAATTATTAAAATAAAGTCAGAAGGACAGTCAAAGTTGTTGCCCTTAAAACTTGCTTAGTATTTCTCCACAGTGTACTAAATTTTTACATATCTAAATACTATTTACTGTTTTATAACTCTTGTTGAAAACTCATCACTAAGAGAATATTCATGATGAATTTGAAGTTTGGGCCACTTTCTTGAGCTGGACATGGCTATCACCAGTATTTAAGCATCTGTACACACATACTGTGGTGTTTGGAGTGAGCGGCCATGACAAGCGATGGTACCCGGTGTTCATAATCCTTCCTTTGGTCTAGGGATAGACATGGAAGGGCTCTTTTTGACAAATAGCTATTGGGCTTCACAAACCCTATTATTTAAACATTGATAGAGTAAGAGCCATAAAACAGTATTTCCTAAGATACGGGACTATATTTCTCATATGTTTAAAGCCAAGTATTTTAGGACTGAAGGGAAATCACAGCACTGACCTGCGGGGCAGAATCGCTGCTCAGGTCCGTCATATATCGCCAAATTTCTATTTACAGGTATACTGTCGTCCTTTAAGGTTAAGTGCGCTGGTTGATCATGTTCATGATTAGTGCCACTCAGAGCCACAGATGACAGAAGATCAAAACTAATCTGCCCGTCAGGTTTTGGGTATTCAATAGGCGTGCAGTCCTTGGCTGGCTTGAGCTGATCAGAGTCAGAACCTTCAAAAGTTTTGTGGAAGATTTTAAATAAAAATACAGCAATAATTTTAAAGTACTTATAAAAACAATAAAAACTTGAAAATATATCAAAGAAACAAAACTTTACTTTTTTTAAAAAAGATTTTATTTATCTTTAGAGGGGAAGGGGAGGAGAGAGGAAGAGTGTATCAATGTGTGGTTGCCTCTCGTGGGACCCCTGCTGGGAACTGGCCTGCAACCCAGGCATGTGCCCTGACTGAGAATCGAACTGTGATCCTCTGGTTCACAGGCCCATGCTCAATCCACTAAGCTATACCAGCTAGGGCCAAAACTTTACTTTTATAATAATGATTGCCGTTGTCTTAAAGATACTGAATTTGTCATTAATAAAGCAGGTTTAAAACATAAAAAAGAATTCACTACCTAATGTATCCCATTCATGAGTTTTTAGTAATTACAACATTCATATTCCCAAGTACGTTGGAATTACCTTTATGTTTCAGAGTCCAGGGCTCCATTCCCCTAAGTATCCAGTAGAAGATGCCAGTGTAAATCATCCCTCCATACACACCCAGGATTCCGTGGCAGGAGGGTCTTATGTTTCGAACACTATATAGCTCTTTCCACACCCATGATTTCTTCAAATTGTCTTCATACTCAGGTACATGGAGTCCTTTCATTAAAAACATGAAATCTAAATGTGAAGTTGCCTCAAGGAATATAAAATACTTTTATCAAGGTATTTTGCTACTGAAATACCTCATGAGTGAATCTTACATGAAGAATGTTTCATATATAAATGTTGGCATCTTCCAGAAAGTTAACTTTACATATATTTTGTTAACAGGCATTTGATTTCTTACAGTAGTCACATGGAAAATTAAGTTTCAAAATTTAGTGAACCAGAAAAAGTGTAAGAATTTATGCTACCTATAAAAGAAAAAAAAGGTATGCTACCTATAAAAGTAAAAAATTAATCAATGAAACATATTGATCAACATATTATGGGTTGAACTGTGTCCCACAAAAAAGATATTCTGTAGTCCTAACCCCCAGTATTTAAGTATGGGTCAGAAGAGCGTTGTTGACCATGTAATAGTTAAGATGAGGTCATACTGGAGTAGAATGGGCCCTTAATCCAATGACTGGTGTCCTTATGGGACACAACACACAGAAGACAGGTAAAGGTAGACGCAGTGATTGGAGCTGATTATGCCGCAAAGCAAGGAATGCCTATGGCTTTCAGACGCTGGGGAGAAGCAACAAGTTTCATCCAGAGACTTACTGAGAGTATGGTCCTGCCAATACCTTAATTTCAAACTGCTTGCCTGCAGAACTCATGTTTATGTTGTTTTAAGTCTCCCAGTCTGTGCTGCTTTGTTGTAGCAGCCCTAGGGAATTATAACAATACCTAAAACTTGGTGCATGCATTCAATACTTAACGGGACAAAACTGTTCTTAGTAACTTGTGAACGACATAGTGACTATACTCTTTCCAGTCATTGTTTACTGTTCTGGCTCCCCTTTCCTTCACCCAACTCCTAGGTTAATCCCTAATCTCGGCTTTGGTGATCTACTTGCTCCAGTACTTCCTATGTGTGGTACTGTGTGTACATGATAAGGTGGTCCAAAAGGGCAAGACACTGGGCAAGAACATTAGAAAAAGCACTCCACTACTCAACCATCACACTTCACCTTGCCTCTTCTGTTCTGCCCTACCTACCTACCAAGATATTTGAAGGCCTAAATACATTGGAAACTTCTAAATGGAATAACATTTGTTAATCTGGGTACCTCCTCTTGGAGTTTTCCATCCAATCAGAAGACAAAGCTGATGAATTACAGCGTGTCGAAAGTGGAAAAAATTACAGAAAAAAAGATGTGTGTGTGGTGGGGGGAGTACTTTGTGAGGTGTGTGTTGTAAATCAGTGGGATCCACTGGGAGAGTGGTGGTTGAGCAGAGGTGAAGGGAGTGGGGGAGCTGGCCATGAGAAGGACCACGAAGGAGGATGCTTGGCGTGTTCCAGGATGAGCGAGGACACCTGTGCACCTCGAATGCAAGTCAACAGAGACGGAGTCAGAGGGGTGAGGGAACTTTGGCTATTCCTCTGAGAAAAGTGGAGAATCATTAGAGGGTCTTGTTAGCTGATGGGTTTACTGAGGTCTAGTGCTAGCTGCTCCTGTCCACTACAGCAGAAAGGTCATATTCATATACGCCTGTGCTGGCCAGGCCCGCCAGGAAATGGTGTTGCTGGATTCTGCGGTTTCCACAGCTCTTCTGCTTCCAGATATGACCCTTCAGTATTTGTGAGATAACTTAGCATGTATATTACATGTATGTAACATAATGCAGTAAGTCCAATTTGAAATCACTTCTAAGTAGGTGGGGCACCACTGGTAGTATTTCACTTCTGATGTCAATAAGCAACATTGCTGTAAAAATCTGACTAATTATGAGAGTAGGTCATTTTTTTTGCACTACACACATATTAATGCTTTGTGTAAAGAGACATGCTATACATATCTTTTTAACGTTAATTGAAATATACATTAATAACATCTCAAGACTTCTGGTCAAGATGGAGGCACAGGTAAACAGCGCTTACCTCACTGCACAACCACAGCAAAATTACTACTAAACTATAAAACAATTATCACCCAGAATCGCCAGAAAATTGAGCTGTATGAAGTCTGACAACAAAGGAATTAGAGAAGTCACATTCATCCAAATGGGCAGGAGGGATGGAGATGCAGAATGGGCATTCCTACACACAAGTGTGGTGGATAAAAATCAGGAGGGATACTTCAGGAGCAAGGGATCCCAGCCCCACACCAGACCACCCAGCCCAGGATTCCAGTGCCAGGAAGATAAGTCCCCATAATTTCTGGCTGTAAAAACCAGTGGAGGGTAGAGCAGTGGAAGAAACTGCTGGATTCTCAGGTGTCTCCTCTTAAAGGGCCTGCCATGGACTCAGGACTTACCCAGACTCACTCCCTCTAGGCTCCACCACTGGGGCAGCTGGAAGAATACCAGTGGCATACAGGGAGAAACTGAAATTTCTGGCATCAGGGAAAGTGTTGAGGGATAGCATCCTCCCAGACAAAACTCCAGAGGCCAGACAGTGGCCACAGCCCCCTTTCTGAGCCCTCCCACACACAGAGCCACAGAACAGAGACTCCATCATCCTGGTACACACAGGTTTCCCTGCCCTAGTGATTACCTAAGGCTCTGCGCCATCTAACTTACTAGTGCACTTTCTTTACTATATAGGCCATGCTACTAAGACAGGGAGTCAAAGCAGCTCTACCTAATACATACACAGGGAGGCTGCCAAATGAAAGACTAAAACTCCAGAAAAATAACTAAACAAAATGGAGATAAGCAATCTGTCAGATGCTGAGTTCAAAACACTCGTTATTAGGATGCTCAAGGAACTCATTGGGTACTTCAACAACATAAAAAAGACCCAGGCAGAAATGAAGGTTACACTAAGTGAAATAAAGAAAAATTTACGGGGAACCAACAGTGAAGTGGATGAAGCTGAGAATAAAATCAATGATTTGGAACATAAGGAAGAAAAAACCACTCAATCAGAAGAGCAAGAAGAAAAAAGAATCCCCCCAAATGAAGATAGGCTAAGGAGCCTCTGGGACAACTTCCAACATACTAACATTCAAAACCAGGAGTACCAGAAGGAGAAGAGAAAGCAAGAAATTAAAAACTTATTTGAAAAAATAATGAAAGAAGACTTCTCTAATTGGTGAAGAAAACAGACATACAAGTCCAGTAAGCACAGAGAATCTCAAAGAAGATGGACACAAAGAGGACCACACAGGACACATCATAACTAAAATGCCAAAGATTAAAAATAAACAGAGACTCTTAAAAGCAGCAAGAGGAAAGCAGTTAGTTACCTATAAAGGAGTTCCCATAAAACTTTCAGCTGATTTCTCAAAAGAAACTTTGCAGGCTAGAAGAGACTGGCAAGAAGTATTCAAGGTGATGAAAAAAGCAAGGACCTACAACCTAGATTACTCTCTCCAGAAAAGCTGTCAATTAGAATCAAAGTACAGATAAAGTGCTTCCCAGACAAGGTAAAGCTAAAGGAGTTCATCATCACCAAGCCATTATTATATGAAATTTTAAGAAATTTATTTAAGAAAATGAAGAAGATTATCAAAACTATGAACAGTAAAATGTCAATAAATTCACAACTCTTAACAATTGAATCTGAAAAACTAAAGCAAACCAGCAGAACAGGAACAGAATCAGGTATGGAGATCATCTGGAGGGTTATCATCTTGGAGGGGGAAGGGAGAGAATGGGGAAAAAGGTGCAGGGATTAAGAAGTACAAATTGGTAGCTATGAAATAGACAGGGGGCTGTTAAGAACAGTATAGGAAATGAAGTAGCCAAAGAACTTACACACATGACTCATGAGCATGAACTAAGTAGGGAGTGGGGGGGATTGCCAGGAGGAATGGAGAGGTCTGGGTGGAGTGGGGAGTGGAGGAAAAACTGGGACAACTGTAATAGCATAATCAATAAACTATATGAAAAAAAAACCCCAAGATTTTTAACTGTATTTATTTTCATGTTCTAGCTATACACTGACTGTATGTTTAAGTAACTTCTTTTTAATGTCTCAGTGAAAAGCCTGACAATTTTCTATACTTTAAGTAGAAAGTTCTTACCTATTGTCTTTGATTGTAGATTTTCATTAGTTAGTTGATTAAAAATAGATTCTGCTGCCAAAGCTCCGCTTTTCATTGCTGTGTGGGTACCTTTGATCTTGGGAACGTTCATAAAACCAGGGCTACAACCAATTAGTAAACCACCAGGAAAGGTGAGTTTTGGTATAGACTGAGGAAAGAAACATTTACAGTGTACTGTTAGTCAAATTAAACATGCAAAACTGACCATTCCAAATTATTTGAAATTATAGTAGCCTCTTAAGTCTTCAAATGATGGAGGGAAACACTTTTTAAAAAATACAGAAAAGTGAATATACTGAAGAAAAAAAATTAGAGCAAGGGCAGTTTTCCCCCTCCTCTATGAATGAGGATTAGAACTATTACTATTTTTGTATTAAGAACTTTTCCTTCTTTCTCCCCACCATGAACCTACCAGAGGATCAACATATTTAAATAAAATGTTTATATGTATACTTACCATGTCATAGCAAAATATATTCTCTAAACCTAAATAACTATTATTCTAAATTGTGATTTGCTTTTACATACATTCTGTGTAAAGCATGATAATATAAAGGATATTATCTTACACCTATATACCCTTTTAATTTTACTTTGATATCCAGGGATAGAAAACTCAGGTTCTAATCATGGTATCACTACAATTAGCTATTACTTTAAATAACATTTTAATTAACATGAAAATAAGCTGAATTTCCAAAATAAATTTTAAGACAGTTGTTTGGGCCTCAATATACATTTCTGATAAAAAAAAAACCATGTATTAAAGGCTGGTGATTTTTTGTGTTAGCCAACAAAAGCCTATATATACCCAACAATGGGGCAGCTACATCAGAGGTGGTTTGCAAGGGAAAATGTACTCTAATCTATAGTTTGTGAAGGAAAGAACAGAGCCACTGCAGAGTTGCTCGTTTCTCCTGCATTTTTTCTTCTCCAAGGGCTTCCTTAAAGTAAGCTGTGGTCTTCGATGAAAAAAAGTGGTGGGTGGTAGAAGAATGGCTAATGGTGTTGAAAGTGACGCAGAGGAGAGGGGATTAACAGGGAAATGACTGCCCTCAGCTGCAAGAGACATGTATGGCCACAACTTCTTTCAATAAGGAAATACTAACTGTGAGGGAGAGGTGGTGAAAAGCAAAATGGGGCAGAAGAATGCTGGTGAAAGAAGGATCAGGGTCCCAATCCTTTCACAATACACGTAGGGGACATATTTATGACTGTGGTTCTCAGACCACACTCAAGATCAGAACCGCCTAGATACTAGAGCATGATGTCAGGATCACTGAGTAGGCAGTATGGGCACAGACTTCTTGGAATGCCACTAGCTGAAAACAGATTATGGTTAGGAACGTGGATAATGATGATGCTTTTCTCAAATAACGCTGTGGCTATGCTAACACTATTTGATTCACAAAGCAGAAGACAGGATGTGGATTATTAGTGCAAGTTATTCCAAACTGGTGCTTAAGTCCTAAGGATAAAAATTTCATGGCCCAATGAAACTGTGTGTTTTTCAGTTCTGGGAGGATTGTCATAGCTTGTGTGGGCAGTTTACTGGCACTGGGTATTTTGCTAAGGAACTAGGGAACAAGGAAAAGCTGCACTCAGAAATGTGTTCTGGGACAGTCATTAAACTGGGACTACAAATAATTAAGAAACCTACCAGGAAAAAGTGAATTCTGGGTATAGAGTGACAAAAAAGAGAAATAAAAACCCATGTAATATATGTTAGCTCAAAAAAATAAAAGTGAATGTTCCAAATTATTGCTTCTTACGGGTCTTCAAATCTTACTGAAAGTAAGTTTCTGAATTGACTAATGAAATCAGAAAATTTAAGTATAAAAGGTGGGCATCTGTGTTCATCTCTTCCCGCTCATCTGAAAACCATCTGAGGTGTTGAAGCACATCAGGCAGATGTTTTTAAATGAGAATCTGTATGTATCACCTAATATACCAAAACTTTTATGCTATGAATTAAAAAGAACAGAATTAGACTGATACTAGATATTATAGACATCATTCAAAAGAGTTTAATGGGCTTTAACACAGTTATGCAATTTAATCAGTTTGTTGCAAACAAATCATTACACTAGAAACAATCAACTATCCCACCCAATTTTCTATTACTTGTTATTTTTACAACAATTTTTTAAAAGATACACAATTTCTAAAATAGTTCTAGGTCCCTAGAATATTAGAGACAGAGGGGATTATCTTTACAGATGATCCCTTAAGGCCAGAGAAGTTAAGTAACTTGCTCCAAATTATTTGGTATGCGTTTTAGAGCTCATTTTTTAAAAGACTGTCTTACCCATCTAATAGTATTTTTACAACAGTACTAACAGCTTTTATTATAGTTAGCTATCTAGGTCTTATTTCATTGTTCAATTAGTTTATATTTAATACATTAACTGTATTTGATAAGACTTACTTTGAACATATACTAAAATCGTACAACGTAGTAAGAGTAAAAGCTTAACAGAGCTCACCTAAAAGTCATGGATGTTACTACATAGTTGGGATGAATTAATTGCCTTTGCTGAAAACTAAATTTGCCTTTGAGTTTCCTGGAAGCTAAGGAATAAAGGGAAAGATTTTGGGTCACATAGCTTTAACTTTCTGGTTAAAAACAAACAAACAAACAAACAAACAAACAAACAGCTGTGAATTTATCTCTAGAAATCAATATATTTTTAAAACTAATTTCATTGTGTAATTTATTTAACTACAGTGTAACAGTCTTAAAAACACTAAGTGCTTTGCTTACCTAAATTTCTTCCCATGAGATGATTTGCTATTCTTTATTTAAATTCGTAACATATTTTCAATGTTAAGTTTATAATACATAAATAAGGAATACAAAAGGTGGGAGAGTTACCTGCAAGCCACCTTCATTGAGAGCCCTGGCTCCGTACGCGATCCTTTTCCCACCTTCCAACGTGGGCTGAACGCTGGGGTGGTGCTTCCACCTCTGGAACTCTCTAAATGGACTCAGGTACGGGTTCTGATAGTCCAGACCAACCTTAAAATTTGTACATTTAAATTTGACATATTTATGAAAGTAGGCATTTTTATTTCAAATTATATCAAGCTAAACTGTGAGAAACTTTTATCAGAAAACATGTATATTAAGTTTCTTGTATTCAAAGTACTTAGAGAAATATATCCAGTAACCCAATTTAATTAACTAAATAAAATCTGTTTCAAAAAGAAAGGGTAAACAAAAGGATACCTTGGTGTTTACAATCAGAAAAACTTTTAAAATTTGGAACATATTAATAAATCACTGAGCTCTATATACCAAAGTCCCCATTAGAAAAATATTTGTAGGTAAGTGTCTCTCACATTGTGTTTTTACAAAAGGAGTTGTAATTATTTATTATTCATTTATCTATACTAACTTTACAAAAAAACAAGCTATATGCAGTTCTACTGAGGCAAAAATGAAGAATCAGGATGTAATCACACTAAGAAAAAAAGGGACAAGAAATATTAGGTATTACCATAGTGCTGAGTTTAATAACCAAGCCTTTTTTGCTTTGAAAAGATTAAGTCACTAGAAGAATTACACAAAGGTTATGTGCTAAACACTTGTCTGGATTTCAAAAACAGCCAAAACACATAAATTTAACAGTGTTTAATACATAGGTTGAATAATGACATTAAACAATAAAGCTGCCACCAATTCTAAGGTGCAGAAATTCATATTTTTCCCATTTCTTGTGATGTTCAAAATGTAATTTACTACAAAGATACAAGTGGCCCAAAAGTTACAGGTTCAAAACCAGTGCTGATTGACTTTTTGGTGGTAGCTCATGCCACAGTGGAAATGAGCTTTGAAGTCAGACAGGTTCAGGTGTAAACTGCCTCTGTCATTTAATGGGTGTACTTGGGAAAGTTGTTCAACTTGTTCAGACTTCAGTCTTCCTGTCAGTAAAATAAGGCTATATACTGAGTTCACAGAATTTTTACAAAACTTAGGCGCTGTCAGTGAAATATCTAGCACAGGGCCTAGCAGGTAGTGGCTACTATTACTAAAGCTTTGTGTGTTTAAGTAGACAAAAGTCTACAATAATTATAAACACTCTGTCTATTGAGAAAATTAAAATGTAAACTGTCAATAAAAAGAAGTTTACATTCTCCATATTCAAACCCCTTGACTCTAACAGTAGAACTTTCCGCAATGGGCACATAACTTACCACAAAACCGAGAGCCACTAGGGGTTCCCCTTCATTCAAATGATAGAGGAAAGAGCCTCCGTAGGTATGTCTGTCCAGGGGCCAGCCAACAGAGTGATCTACTCTCCCAGGTTTCCACTTCTTTTCATCAATAATCCATAGCTTAAAAACAAAAGTCCTAGAGTATTATTTAAATTTTTTATGTCACTACAATGTATAAAACTTGCTAAGTTTATATCTTATTTATAAAGATTACAAGTGAAAAATTATACTAAAGAAACACAAAAAGGTATTCAAATATCAAAGAATATTATACCAAATTGCAGGCTGATGAATCAGAGAGTAAAGAAAAAGGTCAGAAATGTTGTGAATACTTTAAGACATTACTTAGACGTTGAAATCAATAAGACTTTCATGCAATTACAGGAAACAGCACAGGAGAGACGAGGGAAACATCTGGGGTGTTGGTAATATTCCATGTCTTGATCTGGGTGGTGGTGACATGGGGGTGGTTTGCCTGATAAAAATTCACCGAACTATACACTAAGATCTAGGACCTCAAAGTGCACTCTGTTATTCTTCAATGAAATATTTCACTCTTTCTTGTACAGCCCCCTCCTCAACTGAAGCAAATTATTTCTCCTGTTTTTACAAGGGTAAGTTTTAAATTTCAAACAATTTCATTGTTTAAAAACAATCTTAAATGTTGTCTAAACAAATAAACAATCTTAAATACTGTCTAAAAATCAGATATCATGTGCAATCTACCAAAACAGTAAGCCCTTATTCATAATATATCGACTCTAGTTATATACAAAATTTAAACCTTTCTGAGCTTTACTCTAAAAATAAAATCAAACAAAAGGATATAATGAAACTTTTACATTCTAATAAACCTGAAGTTTGAAAAAAGTATGTAGAGATTGGATAAATTGAGAAAATATATAACACTTAACCTATCTAAATTTTAGGTTTCATGTCAATATATCATAACTGAGTATATGTTTCATAAACTAAATTACCTTCACATTACAATTTTGAATAAAAAATTCTTGTATGATGTGGTCATTCTATAAGCAGCATATGAAAAAAATCAACGTTACAAATGTTTTCAAATTGAAGACTTCTTTCAGAAATATCTGAATAACCAATTATAACATGTAGATATAATTTAGATACTAATAAATTTTGGTTAGTATATATTTTCTATCCCTTTGAAAAATATCTCAAATATTTTTACTCATGATGAACATTTCAAGTCAATGGAAAATAAAACTGCAAAATTAAATCAACACTATAATTACATTATAATGCAAATTAATTTAAAGCTCTACCTTTCAACATTCAATTTACAAAAACAAACCAGGATACCTCCTTTAGTCCAATCCCGTAGGTTTGGGGATCACAACTGGCCCTCAAATCGAACTTCTTGTACAACTGTTTGGCTAGATGTCCATGGCAACCCTCGGCAAAAACTGTAACTTTGGCGTGTAGTTCTAGTCCTCTCTCAAATGTTGTCTAAAAGATAAAAATGTTAAACTGCAGCATCTGACAATTTAAAAAATATTCGCATTCTGGTCAGTTTTGAATTGCACTGTAATTCAGATGTAGAAAAGACAATGAAAATACAGTAGAAATAAAACTAAGTACTGTTATGAGTGAAATCTAATTTAAATTTAATAATATATCTTGTGTCTGTTATATTTTAATTTTTTACTGCAAAAGTACTTGACTGAATGATTAAGTTTGTAAGAATTAAAACAGTCAAGAAAGCATGCTTATGCTAAAAAAGATCTAAAAAAATTATATTTAGTCTAAATAAATAAACATAAAGAGAAAAATGAAAGGCCATTTCCCCACTGTTCCTGATTTTCCAGTCTAATCATTTAAATCATTTAAAGCAAAAAAACACTATTAATGGCTCTGTTGTAAAATTTTCAGGTCAGAAAATTTCGATGAATAAAAAACAGAGCCTACTTATATCTTCTAACACAAACAGCACCATACTAAATATGTTCTTCAGTTACTTGTTTATTTTACTTGTTCTCTATTGCCTAATGTATATAGTAAAACTGAAATGTTTTTTCCAGGGGGAAAAAGCTACAGTTAAAGTCTTATTTCTCTCTTCTGACCTCTGTATTTTGCACTTGTATCTGGCATATGACAGGAACTCAATAAAGTTACTGAATAAAGAAATATGGAATAATCAGAAAAGTCTCATGGAATATGTCTCGTGGAATGTCAGAAATATGTCTGATATTTCTCTATTCATATATTTTCAAGTATTACATGTGTGTATGAGTCATTCATACAAAATAGGTTTATACTGGCAAACTTTTATGATTGCTTTCATATTACATCATAAAGTGATTTGCCTAAGGCAAATATACCAAATAAAGTATTCATTTTTAATGCTTGAACAGATTCCCCTATTTTTTAAATCAATTCTCAATAGCTGGACATTCAGGTTGTTACACTGTTTTACTATTATAAGCACTGCTCACATGAATATCCTTGGAGTTAAAGAGTTTCAGTCTAAATAGTGAGAATTATTTCATTATAATTAATTTAATATTTTTTATGTGTTTCTTTTTTCTTTTCTGCACAGTTTCTGGCCCTTATCCCTCCCAACTCTCCTTAATTTAATATCTTTGGTTATGAGAGAATTTGAACATCTTTCATATGTTAACGGTAACTTCTGTTTTTTAAGGTATAGTGATTATCATGTCATATATATACATACATGTGAGTATTTTCCTAATGAGAAAAATTCCAAATTAATAATTATATTCTAAGGTACACTTAATATGCAGTTTGTAGGCAGACCAAATTATTAAGTTTAAATCGGTTTTTTAAATCTGTCCGTTTGTGAAGCACACAATTATTAAAACACTCACCTTTGGTGCACCATCCTTCTGTACCCCTACATCATTAGTGGCAATCCCTTTCACACTACCGTCTTCGTGGAAAAGGATCTAAAATAAAAATACTTCGTTATCACCTCAGGATTCATAATAACCTTGAAAAGAAACAATAAATAGCCTTAGGTTTTTTAGAAAATGAACATGTTCTCTAGATTATAGACATACAGGCTTTAAAATGCTTAGGCAAAAGGAGACATGTTTCTAAGCTACCTACTTTTAGAGTATAAAATGGTTGGAAATCAAAGAAAGGCTTCAACTGTGATTAGGAAGAAAATGAGGATGCTACTTGAGAGTCACTAAAACACTGGTAAAATAGAGCCCAAAGTGGTATGAACTGTTCAGGTGTCACAAACACACATACAGAACCTGAATTCAAAGCCTATAACGAATGGAGACCATCAGGGTGGATGGAAAGAGAACAGTGTCAGGACAGCCTCTGTCCCAAATGAGCTACAACCACCCTCCCCAAAAAGAACTATCAAAAAATGTAACAAAAAAAACCACAGAGGTTGAAGACAGCCCAGAGATGATTAAAGTTTATTTCTGAAGCAAGAAAAAAGGGAAAGAAAGCAGAAAAATGGGTCAAAAGTATACTTTTGAGGATGGGAAATGTTATTGTTTCCTCTCTGGAGAAAGCTGCTCTTTGGATAGGAAAGTACAAAATGCACTACAATGACACAACAGAGAGCCCGGGGGTGGAAAGGCACAACTGGGTTAACAGCAATGGATATGAAAAAAAAAAAAACAAACAAACCGATATAAATGTTTTCTCTGATACTTTGAAAACGGAATGTACCTATGAACTAGAACTGAAGTCTGGCTCAGAGCGTATCAAAACCTGACATCTATCAAAACCTGATATCATTAATCTACTGATAATGATTTTTAAGGGAATGAGGAAAAGAGGAGGTGCAAGCGAGTATAAGTGTGTGTGTACTCAAAAAGTGAAAATCATTGATTTACAAAGCACCTATTTGTAGCTTTGACACTGATCCCAAGAACATTTTAACCAGGAGAAATACAAAGGCCCAGATTTGGGCCCAAAATGCCAAATGCACATGTATGGGTTGGGAAAACAAATCAGTAGCAAGTATAATGCAGAAACCCAAATGGTTTTTGTTTTGTCTTTTTAAAATTTTTAAATTCTCACCCCAGGACATATTTTCATTGCTTTTTGAGAGAGAGAAAGGGAGAGAAGAAGGGAGAGAGAGAAACAGTGATGCGAGAGAGACACAGCGATCCGTTACCTTCCTATGTGCCTGGACCGGGGATTGAACCCACAACCCAGGTATGTGCCCTGAGGATCGAACCTGCAACTTTTCTTTCGGTTACAGGATGGCACTGCAACCAACTGAGCAACAATAGCCACAGTCCTGTGTTTCTATTTGACTTACATACTGTAAGGGTAAGAACAAATATAAAATTATTTGGAATTTTCTGTTACTAAAACAAAAAGAACTTCTCTTCCAATCAAGATTCTTTCAGCAAATCCTTTAGAAAACTTAACTGTCTGAGATATATGTGACTCTTTTTAAAAGCCAAATAAGATCCCCGCTGGATGAGCATCTCACAAACAAGTTTCTCGGGAGCCTAGGAGACATGTTTGAATGAATGCGAGCATCAGAGAGGATGGTGTTCTGTCTTCCTGTCTCCGTGGAAATCCGGGATGGGTGCTTGGCTCTAGGTTTTAACTTCCTGCCTGTCCCAAGAAGTTTTTCCTTTGGATACAGACAATGTGTATGTAACAGATTCTATCTACATGGCTATATAAATGGATGAGATTTCTTTCTGTATTGGCAATCTCCCTAGCAGACTGCCGGTGACACGCACTAACCTAATAAGTATTAGGTTAATACTTATTCAAGAATAAAACTGACAATTATGCTAAGTGAAATAAGCAGTCAGTGAGAGACAAGTACCATATGATCCCACTTATGAGTGGTAATCTAATGAACAAAATAAGCTAATGAGCAAAACAGAACCAGAGGCATAAAAACATGGAACAGACTGACAGCTGTAAGAGAGGAGCGGGGAGGTGGGGACTGAATGAAAGCAGGTGAAGGGATTAGTCAGAGTTAACACACATGCATTATCTGTGGGCATGGACAATGGTGTGGGGATTACCCGTGGGAGTGGGGGTGGGCTGGGTGGAGGGGAGCAGAGGGAGAAAAAACTGGGACCAAAATAAGAGTATAAACAATTAAAAATATATATATATATTTAAATGTTCATTTATTTACTTTTAGAGAGAGGGGAAGGGAGGGAGAGGGAGAGAAACATCCATGTGTGGTTGCCTCTCATGTGCCCCCACTGGGGACCTGGCCTGCAACCCAGGCATGTGTCCTGACTGGAAATTGAACTGGCGACACTTTGGTTCACAGCCCACGCTTAATCCACTGAGCTATGCCAGCCAGGGCCTAAAATATTTAAAAAAATAAAAAAAATCTTAACAATATAAAAAAATAAAATTGTTTTTATAATTTGTAAAGGTGATTTTTTTTTGAGTTGGCAGACTTTATTTTTAATAATTTCCCCAATAATACTTAGTGAAAATCAACAGGATGTGATGGTTGCCAAAAGAGTTACTCTGAGTGAATTAACAGAGGACATTTTCTCAAAGGAAGATGACAGCCCTCCTCTACCCTAGGCCTGAAGCAGTGTACTCCTTCTGGATGCCTCCTTACAGGCGATGACGGGGAAATGTGTTCAGAGGAGGGCAGTGAGAGTACTGAAGGAACTCAAACTATGTACCATAATGACTCAAAGGATTGAGAATATTTAACTTGGAAAAGAAAAAATATAAGAGTAAAGGTAAGGAAGAAGAGCAGGGCATAACTATAAATGAGAGGGTTCTTTCCAATTGGAAGAGGGCACAGATTTGTTCTACATAAAATATTAAGTAACTTTCTAATTAACATAAGAGAACATTACCAACAATTCATTATCCAATGAAAAGACAGAGATCTCTTCATCCCTAATGGGGTTTCGATCATCAGTTAGACCATCACTTGACATGGGTACAATATAAGGAATTAAGTATTCTGGGTTATACAGATCTTTTTAAGATTCCCTCTAATCTTGCAATTCTAAAATCCTGTGGCTTTTCTAAAATATTTATTTCTTTACCTTGTACCATTTTTGGTTTATATTCAAGAGAAAACCAGATTACTTTCTATAATTAAAACTAAACGAAACTATACAAACCTCAGCAGCAGCATAACCAGGGTACACTTCAACACCGAGGGCTTCTGCTTGCTCTCCCATCCAGCTTACTACATGTCCCAAGCGTACAATGTAATTGCCATGATTATTCATTGGGAGACCTACAAATAAATGCTTAATTTATAAATTTGACTTTTTATTGATAAAAAAACCCAAAACATAAATACTTAATTTAAAGCATAAATAACATAAATCTCAAAAACATAAATACTTAGTTAAAAATTCATAAATACTTCAAAACATACATACTTAATTAAAAAATTCTAATCAGTGTATAATTTCTTTAAAAAAAGATATTTATCTATTTATTTTTACACAGAGGAGAAGGGAAGGGGAAAGAGAGGGAGAGAAGCATTCATGTGTGGCTGCCTCCCATCCGACCCCCACCAGGGACCTGGCCCACAACCCAGACATGTGCCCTGACTTGGAATCAAACTGGTGACCCTCTGGTTTGTAGGCCAGTGCTCAATCCACTGAGCCACACCAGCCAGGACCAATGTATAATTTCTGAATAAATATACACATTTTCTTATGGTCACAATTTCAATTTGTGTTCTATAATTTTGGTCTAGAGGTCTGATTATTAAATTAAAAACATTACAGCATTGCCCTGGCTGGTGTGGCGCAGTGGATTGAGTGCAGGCTTGGGAACCACATGATCGCGGTTTGATTCCCAGTCAGGGCACATGCCTGGGTTGCAGGCCAGTTTCCAGCGGGGGATGCAAGAGAGGCAACCATACATTGACATTTCTCTCCTTCTCTCCTTCCCTTCTTCTCTAAAAATAAATAAATAAAATCTTAAAAAAACACCAAAAAACATGATAGCATTAAATAAAAAATTCCTTGTTGGGTCCTGGTCAGGTGGCTCAGTTGGCTGGAATACTGTCCTACGCACCAAAACGTTGCAGGTTTGATCCCCCATAGGGGTGTATATGGGAAGCAACTGATTGATGTTTCTCTCTTTCTCTCTCCCTTCCCTGTGCTCTAAAATCAATAAACATATTCTTGGGTGAGGGAAAAAAAGTTCCAAGCTGGTTTACAAGGCTATCTCAGTTTTTCCAGTGGAAGACTAGAGAACTGGATTCTAGTCCTGCTTTCCTGTAAGTTAACTGTATAACTCTAGGTATGTCCTACAAACATCTGGACTTCAGCTTTCTCATCTGTAAAAGGAAGGGATTTCACAGGATGAAATGTAGCTCCTTCTGGATGTAGAATTCTATGATTCTATGATTCTATACCATATCTTACCTGGAAGAATTGGCACAGGAATTCTGTATTTCTCTGTTAAAATCCCAAACCTATCTTCTGTTACAGGAGTGTTAAGTGGAGCCTAGAAATAAAATAAGGAAAGAAAAGGAGGCTCATATTTGTAAAGGTAAATACAAATAATTTTTAAAAACTATATCAAAAAGTAAATTTTCAATTTTCTTTCATTCTTTTCTTTAGAAAAATTAGACTATGAATCCTTCCTTTGTCTCTTTGATATGTATGGTAATCTTTTTAAAACCTAAATAAGCCAGTTTTGCATCCCAGGAATGCCTTTTTTGGGGACTTTGGAGTCATCTTTGAAAAGTGAATGTCAAGGAGGAAGGCTCCCTGGCTCCCCCTGTTGGTGGGAGTTTAGCTTAGGAACATGCTCCAAGCTGTAACTTCCTGCTTAATGAAAAGAGAAGACAAGTTTTATTTTTCCCTTGGATAAGGACAGTAAACATGTATGTAATGAATTGTTTCTGCCTAGCTATATAGGGTTTTGCTGTAAAAATTTTTTCTACTACAATCGATAATAATCAATTTAATTATCATTTAATTATATCAATAATCATTTAATTATACCTATTTCCAACCTAATATTAAAAGGAGAAAATTAATGAAGCATAATTCAAGTATTTCAAGTTTAAAGGAGCTTGATATTTTAGAAAGAACAGAAGAGATAAAAATTTTGGAACTTATTCCATATGGAAAGAATACAGAAATATTTATACAATGTTTTACAAAGTATATTCACAGATACTAAATATTCTAACCTTAATGGGAGAATAGCTGTAATATAACCCATCTTACATAAGAAAAAACTGAATACATATAGAGTACAATTTTAACCAAGGTCACGCAAATTACAAGAGCAGTAAAACTGGCACACAGTTCTCTGCATATCATACCAGTGCCTTTCCTGCTTAGGTTATGGGTGACCATGATTTACCGCTTTAGAAAATCAGATGAGATTATCCTCCTTGGGGTCAGATATTGCAATGTCCCAGGAAATTTAAATAACACTTTATTAAGAACAGTGATATAAACACCTATGGAGAAAGTTAAGAAACAACCTTAAAATCAAAATGCTATATTTCATTTGGTACAAATATTCAAAGATCTTCTCAAGATAATGCCTTCTTATAAATCTAGGACATAAAAGCAACACATAGAAGGCGTTATATAAGTTAATATCTTAAAATTATAACTATATTTGATATGATTTAATATATTTTTCCCCATTATAAATAGTCAGTAATTATCCTGTAAAAGACAGAATTACATAAAAACGTTTCTCATATTCTAGTAATTTGGAAATAAAGAAACAATAAGATTAGACTTTTTGTAAAAAAACAATTTTTCATACTCCCTTCTCCTTCCAGTCTGGGAACAGTTCTTCAAAAGCACGGGGGTCAAGGCAAGCCCCTGAGAGAGTATGAGCTCCTATCTGAGCAGCTTTCTCCACCAGACACACACGGATGTCCTTTTCATGTTCAGCAGCCAACTGCTTCAGCCGAATAGCAGCAGAGAGCCCTGCCGGGCCCGCACCAACTATTACTACATCCGCTTCTTCTGCAAACCTCTCCATGTTCACTCCTGGGAGGAAGAAGCAAAATTTCCAAAAACAAACAAAACAAAAAAAACAACATAAAAGTCTGGGATGACTATGACCTGTTAAAATCACATGCTGGCTTATATACCCACTATGTGTTAGAACATTAATTATAGGAATTGCCCGTTTGCCTTGACTGAGAACTGCACTAAGGTGTAGCACTGTATTAGCTGGACGTTGTCTTCATTCCCAGTGCATGTCTTATTTTAGCTTCCATAAACCAACTTTTGGCTTTCAGATTTAATATTATATTATAAATTTAGCAAATATTTCTTCTTCTAAATGCTAATATGTATTATAATAGATTTGTAAATCTATATTAGATGATTGTACACTATCATGAAAAATATTTCCCTTTGGAAAATGATAGTATCTTCACAGATATTATTAGTATCATTATCTTCATAGAGATACTATCTATAAAGATACTATCATTTTCCCTTTATAAAATGAGAGTATCTACAGAGTCTCAACAATTTTACACAAATTATTACTTACCTTCCCATCGTTTGTCCTTATCCCGGGGATAAATGGTGTAGTGAGTAGTAATTCGAGGTACAGCAGAAGTTGAAGCCCATCTTCTAGCACACAGAGGTAGATAAAGTTTCCTGATTTTTAAAGCACGAAGGCACTGATATGCTGCACAAAAATATGAATATTGTTATTATTTTTTAATTCATTTTCCTCAGTTAACTGAACAAAAATGAAAAAAAAATAGGATTGGAGATCAGAGCTGGTTTCCCATTAGTTTTCTATTAATTAGCCCTAGGACCTAAACAAATCACTTAATTTGTTTCCTTACCCGAAGTGAAGAATCACAGATGATCTCAAAGGTACCTTCATGACCTAAAATTGTATTACACAGGATGCCTTATATTTGGAAACTTGTATATAGTCTGACCATATCAAAACTGCAGACATTCAGTGAACAGTTAGGTCTACGCTATAGAGCTGTTAGCTGTGACAATAACTGAAATAGACTGTACCCTTTCCTAGATGAACTGTTCAGTTACCTTCTTCTCATAAAGCAATGTTTTCAAATTACAATATTGTAAAGAACCTAATAAACTAATTTATTCAGTTTAGCTCATGTCAAGCTTAACCTATAAATAGGATGACCATATAATTTACAATGCAAACTAGATACTTTTGAGAGTAATAGGAACACTATGGGCAAACTGAGTTTTATGATCAACACTTCTTATTAGGTTGACTCTATATATGGCAATATTTTTTGAGAGCATATGTATGTATATGTCTATATCTATCAATCTCTCTATAAAATCTGAGTTAGGAAATAAAATTTTATGGAAATAAACAGAAGTGTAAAAAGATTGATCTGCAAGAATGTTCATTAAATTTCTGTTATCCTTAAACCTTCAACTCCATCTCCTTCCTCTCTTACCTGGAGCAGATAACCTAGCACATCAAACCTCATAGAAAGACAGAAGCAATTAGGTGGGAACTTTCTCAATTTGTTGGCAACAACCTCTAATGTAATCTGTGTTTGTATCCATCCTGTGCTCATTCTCTCAGGTTATACAAGAGATGACTTTTCTCCTCTCTCAGATTAATCCTTCCACTTGAATATGAAGGCTTACCCTCCCATCTTCCTAGGGACATTCTTCCAGCTGATACCCTCCCCTCGCTGTTGTTTGCAATTTCTGACTCCCTTCCCTGGCATTCTTCTCTTTGATAATCCTTTCCATCATAAAAAAAAGGACAAAAACTCCTCCTTTGGGACTAGCCCTGAAAGATATAAAAACTTATATATGGAACTACAATAATTAAAAGAATAAGGGACAAGGAACAGAATAATCAAAGAAACAGAATAAAGTGTTTAGAAACAGAATAACATAAGGATTTGGTGCATGGCAAAAATGTCATTTCAAATCAGGGAGAAGAGATGGTTACTCATTAAGTGGTACAGACATAGGTAGAAAGTCATTTCAAAAAAAGCATACCTCTTTTTTTATATAAAAAAGAAATTCCATTTGGCCAACAATTTTAACCGAGAAAGTCAAGGTATAAAAGATAATGGTGATATATTGACAAATTATTTGACTTCTCCTGCTTTTTGAGTGTGGGCTACATTTAGTGACTCACTTCCAACTAGCAGAGTATGAGAAAAGAAGAATATTAACTTCACAGTGGAGAAATACGGCAGATACTTTAAACAAGTGATGGAGTTTAATATTGCAGCAATAAGATGTACTGGTGTCACATACTCTTGATTACACGAGAAGGGCTCTTTGGCTCTGTGGTCTACTTCCACCAAATCTATAACCTCTGTCTAATCATGAGAAATCATAACAAACTCAGACTGAAAGTCATTCCACAAAATGCCTGGCCAGTCCATACAGAAAGTGTCAAGGCCAAGGGAGACAAGAAAGGAGAAACTGTCACACTGAAGTAGACTGAAGAGGAGATATGACAACTCAAAGCAATGTGGTACCCTGGACTGGATCCTGGAACAGGAAAAGGAAATCTGAATAAAGTCTGTAGTTTAGTTAATAGTATTGTATCAATATAAATTTCTTAGTTTTGATAATTATGCTATAGTTATGTAAGAAGTCAGAGTTTCCATATACCCTTTGTTCTGAGCAAAGGGTATATGGAAACTCTGTGCTATTTTTCAACTCTTCTGCAAATCTAAAATTATTTCAAAATAAAAAATGAAAAAATTAAGATTATGATACAAAGTTAACTTAAAAAGGATCAAAGGCCCAAATATAAGAGCTAAAACTATATAAAATTAAAAAACCCCCACAGTGGTGTAAATTTTTGCGACCTTAGAACAATCATTTCTTAGCTATGCCATCAAAATCAGAATCAACTCGCCCTGGCTGGTATAGCTCAGTTGAATGAGGATGGGCTGCGAACTAAGGGGTCACCAGTTTGATTCCCAGTCAGGGCGCATGCCTGGGTTGTGGGCCAGGTCCCCAGTGGGGCCACTGATGTTTCTCTCCCTCTTTTTCTCCCTCCCTTCCTTCTCTCTAAAAATAAATAAATAAAATATTTAAAAAAAAAGAATCAAGAAAGGAGAAAATAGATAAGCTGTACTTCACCAAAACTAAAACTTTTTGTGCTTCAAAGGATACCACCAAGAAAGTATAAAGATAACCCATGGAATGGGAGAAAAATATTTGCTAATCATATATACGATAAAGGACTTATATCTAGCATATCTAAAGCACTCATTTCTAATAATAAAAAAAAATTAAATCAGACAAAGATTCTAAATAGACATTGCTCCAAAGGAGATATATAAGTAGTCAATAACTACATGAAAAGCATGAAAAGATGTTCAAGATCATTAACCATCAGGGAAATACAAATAAAAATCATAGTAAGGTACCACTTTCTATACACTGGGGTAGTTATATTCGATAAGGTAGATAATAACACATGATAATGAGCATGTGGAAAAACTGGAAAGCTCATATACTGCTGGTAGGAATGTTAAATGGTCAGCCACTTCGGAAACAGCCTGGCAGTTCCTTAAAATGTGAAACACAGAGTTCCTATACGACTCACTCTAAGTATATACCTAAAATAAATAAAAAAACATATGTCTACACAAAAACTTTATACAAATGTTGACAGTTGCACTATTCATAACAATCAAAAAGTGAAAACAACTCAAATGTCCATTACTGAACTGATAAATAAAGCAATACATCCATACAATGTAATATCATTCAGCAATAAAAAGAAATTAGGTAGTGATATATGCTACAACATGGATGAACACTGGAAACATTATGCTGAGGGAAGCCAGAAAAAAACCCACATATTATATGAGTCCGTGCGTATGAAATATCCAGAATAGACTCCTTGACAGAGACAGGAAGCTGATGAGTTGCTGTATGGCACTGGAGGGGTTGGGAGTGACTGCTAATGGGTATAACGTTTCTATGCCAGGTGATGAAAATGTTCTAAAATAGACTGCGGTAGTGGTTGCACAACTCCGTGAATATACTAAAAGCCACTGAATTGTACACTTTAGCTGGTGTGAACTGTATGATATGTAATATATCTCAATAAAACTTATAAATAAAGAACAGTTAGAGTGCTATACAAAAGATTATAAGGCCCTGGCTGGTGTAGCTCAGTGGATTGAGCACGGGCCTGCAAACCAGACAACCGCGGTTCGATTCCCAGTCAGGGCACATGCCTGGGTTGCAGACCAGTTCCCAGCAGGCCAGTTCCCAGCAGGGGATGCACGAAAGGCAACCATACATTGATGTTTCTCTCCCTCTCTCCTTCCCTTCCCCTCTAAAGATAAATAAATAAAATATTTTAAAAAAGAGATTATAAGGAAACCACTGGTAATTTTATTTAGAGTCTTAGATTTAGAAAGGTTATGGTAAAAATTTCAAAAATCATTTAACTAAAAATTTAAAACATCTATACGATCAAAAATGATATAAACATAAATGTCTTGCTTAGTTGTCTATATGCTATCAATAGATAGCATAGTCCTCAACTATTTGCCTTTTCCTTGTTGTGGGATACCGTATTTTTAGGACCATAAGATGCACCTAGGTTTTAGAGGAGGAAAATAGGAAAAAAATTTTTGAAGCAAAAAGTATGGTAAAATATTTAATGATCTGTGACCCCGTTCCACCACCACACCTCTCACGGTGTGCCAGGTAAGCTACATTTGGGCTCTAAGAGACACCCATTTCCTCTCAAATTGGGGGGGTGCGTCTTATAGTCCAAAAATACGGTAAATCCTAGTCTTAGCCTACACTTACAGGTATAAATACTTGTTGATTGAATATCAGACAGTCCTTGTGACACTTTCTGTCATTAACATACTCATTTATAATTCACTTGTGATATTACAAAACAGGTTAATGCTTTTTTTTAACTGTCATTCTCTGGGTAAATGCAAGCTGAGTTATAAAAATCAGAAGCCTTAAAAGATGAACATGAGAAAAAAAAAGATAATTTATAGAGTGGAAGAAAATATCTGCAAAACACATAGCTGATAAAGGGCTGGCATTCAAAATATCCAAAGAACTAATAAAATTCAAAAAGAAAACAACTCAAAAAATGGGCAAAAGAGTTGAACTGACAACTCACCAAAGAAATAAAGATATACAGATAGAAAATAAGCATATGAAGAAACACTGAACATCTTATGTCATCAGAGGGTAAAAAAAAAGTCATGACCTTTACTCCTTTTCTGAAAAAAATCTGATATTTCACTTCAAAGATGTGTACACTCAGGCACCTTGGCTGAATTTTCCTAGAGAAGTGAAGTCAAAAGTCCATTGAACTCATAATATCACCCCATCAAAGTCACACTGACAGTGCATTTGGGCCCTTCTCTGTTTCCAGTAGTACCAACACTAGGCTATGAACGTGGCAATGGTTTAAGTATCCAAAGAAATTGGAAATAGCAATTTTGGTGGAATTTTGTTAGCACTTGGCTCAAGAATTACTTCAAATAAATCAGGCAGTAGGACAGACAGCATCTGACTACTTTGATATTCCAAAACACATACATATATATATATGTGTGTGTGTATATATATATATCTACACATTAGGTGTTATAATACATGCAGGAGAAACAGGAACTTTAAACAAAATTCTACTTAATATATGATGGCCAAATTTGACAAAATTCCATGTTAATGAAATTCACATAAGAACATCCTTGAATTTGCAATATATACATACTTGTTTACTACATAACCGAAAATTAACTTAATAAACTAAGACAAACTAAATTAAATCAGCTGCAAGAGAATTCAAGATTCTGTTGTGAAATTCTTCTTATAAAATTGTTTTTGTTTTTAAGTAAAACAAAACTAACCACCATCCACATCATCTGAATGCATCATTCTTTTTTTTTTAAGTGAAAGGAGACGTAATATGGTATTTTCACGAGTCATCGTGATGGTTCTAGGAGCGCCCATAACACGATAAACTCTTGGAGTTAATGTTAAGACAATGTAAAAAAATTCTTGGCTCTAGATATAATTTTGTGACTTTGAATAGAATGTTAATCATGATGTGTCAGATCAGACTTCAAATTCTTGAAAATAGTCTAGGATGGCAACAAAGACGCAACTCAGATTGCGAGACTCAGGTCTCTGGTCTTTGAAGGGGAAACACCTGTGCAACTATTTCACCTATTTCCAGCAATGCAACAGGTAACACATGAGGGTCAGGACCAGAATTTGGGTCGATTCAGTTCAGGAGTGCTCAGGGGGACCGTGTTGATAAGTTTCCCCTGCTCATGACCTTTCGCCTAGTTGTCAATTCTTCCAATTCGGACAACAGCAGAAGAACCTAGGGTCCACCACCTGGCGCAGGCAGCGTGACCTTTGTCCTAGTTTAGCCTGAGAAAGCCGACGAAAGGAGACTGGGGAGGAGAGAGGCGCCTACAGTCCCCAGGTGTGACCCTGTCCGTTCCTCCCTAACCACTCGACCTTTCTCCACTTATTCCCCTCCCGAAGTTCCCTCTCACCCGGGCAGGACAGCTTGGCTAGCGGCACCAACATGTTCACTGTAAGCAGGACTCTCGTCGGACACAGCGGAAGGACTGTCTTTGGCTCGCTTGCAGGCGCTGGACCTCTAGGCCTCAGGGGGCGCCATTACCTGCCGCGAAACACCAACCCTTCTGCTGGTTTGTCTCTTCGCTCAGCGGACAGCTTTGGTTTCTCGGCGTTCCCGCCTCTTTCCCGTTCTGCGCCGGCGCCACGCATGACGCAGTGGCCAGCACTGTCTTCTGTGTCCAGTACTCAAAAAGGAAAACAGGGACTCCAAATCCCAGCATGGCCCGCGGCTTCAGGTTGTCAATTTGAGTCTGCGCTTTGTTCTCACAAGTCCCATAATTCAACGTGCAGTGACGCGTACAGCATCCTGGAAGTTGTAGTTTTTTTGCAGAAGAGTCTTATAAGTCTCTATAGAACTTTGCGCAGGAGCAGTGAGCTGCTCTGCGAAGGGTGAATTGACTGGCATCTGATTGGCTGTCTCGAAAAAATGAACCTTGCTTGCGGTATTCGGTAAACACCCACAAGGAGAATGGCCAGGATTTTGGGTGGGAGGGGCGGGGCTTCTGGGCTTGGAGCGCGAGCGGTTGAAAGACAGTTGGTGTCGGTTCTGCCAAGTTCGGGTTCGGCAGTCCTTCTCCATGGCAGATCATGAAGAGGTGCAGGTTTCTTCACAGCCCCCTCCGCCTTCCTTCTCTCCCTCGTCTTCAGATGCCTCTTCAACATCTTCCCCCGGCGTCCCAGTGAGTTTGGACTGGCCTGTTCCGAGCAGGGGTAGCGGTCAAACGGTGGACCCGCTGGAGGAAGTGGAGTTGCAGATCGGAGACGTGAGTGTCGCCCTACAGGTCCGGGGCCGCGTCCCCACCGGCGCCTGTTGAAAGACGGACTGCAGCGGGGCCAGGGAGGGAGGGACTGGGAATCCGTACACCTAGCTTGACGCTTCTCTGCCTTCAGCCCCCTGAGGAGTCCGCCTTTAGATTCCGCCTAGGGGTTATTCCTCCACCCGGCCCCGGTCTTTTTGCTTCGCCTTCTGGTTTCTATCATCCGTGTAACTCGAAACCACGCCGCTCTGCTGCAAGGATTTGAGCTGCCTCTGTCCGTCCTGTTATCTTCCCTTCTTTCTGTCTGTGGGCGCTTGGGTTCAGGCTGTGATTTTTCTCTCTGTGGGACTCAAGAGTCCGCTGTTCTAGTTGGCCACCTGCCCAGAGCCAGCTGACAATGCTAACGTCTATTTCAGCCATTCTTTTCGCTGGACCGAGTTTGGAGGGGTTAGTCCCCGCCCCTGTAGCCCAGATTGGTTTCTTTAACCGCTTAGACAAAGATCTCTCCCTCTGATTTCTAGAATGGGTGGTCTGTTGGTTTCTGTTGAATCTCGAATTTCCACAGAATAACACAAGCGCGCGCACACAAACTGCAACCCTAATACAGACACCACCAGCGGAGGCGAGGGTGAAGGGGCACAGTTTCAGTATTTAAGGACTCTTGAGTGGGTAAAGTGAATGAAGTATTTAGGGTATAATCTTCCTGGGAGAACTTTGTGGAATCAATATCTCCTGGATTAAATATTTGTTTTTTCAAAAATGAACAAAGTGTTGATACAGCTATTTTTGCTGAACAAGACTGGTTTCAAGTGAATATGTAGAATGAGTGCAGGTGTGTCTTCTGGGAACAGTGTTATTTTATATCGTAGAAGAAAACATTTAATTCAAGAAATGAGTTTCCCCCCAAAGGTTCGGATTTTCTGCATGTGTTTTAATTATGTTGAATTCATTTGTCCGCTAAGAGTATCTGTTCTTCGGTCTATACATTTTCATGGTCTAAAGTGTGCACAGGTAAAAAGACAAAATAATGCCCTTTATCAGTAAGAGTTTTTTATGATGAAGTCCTTCAGATACTTCTGGTACTTAGTGTCAAGGGGTCCAAGTAACCTTGTTGAGCCGAAAGAGACTCCAGTGTATTTTCGAATAAACAAAATACTGACTTGTCATGTCTCATGCATAATGGGTATTTTTCTAGCTTACTTCATGTGAAAGAATTTTTTAGTTTTCCTGAAAGAGCTGGTGTTTCGGTTTGCAGTTTTTTTTTGCTCTTAAAGAAAATAACTTAAGCATTAGAGTTAAGGTTTTAAGCTATTTTTGGACTATAAAATGAGAGGAGGGTTTAATGAATAAACTTCTATTGTTTGACTTTTTTTTTAAAATTTCAGGCAGCATTTTCATTAACCAAACTTCTTGAAGCCACGTCTGCAGTATCAGCCCAAGTGGAAGAGCTTGCCTTCAAGTGTACAGAAAATGCACGTTTCCTTAAAAGATGGCGGGACCTCTTGAAAGAAGGCTATGATTCTTTGAAGCCGGACAACTGATTTGGCTGTGAAATAGCTCCTGCTTCCTCATTTATGATATTTGCACATGTACCATAGGTATAGTAGAATCTCCAGGAGTTCTGTAGATTCAACATGAAATTTTTCTTGATTTTATTTACTTTTGTGAGAGCAGATTACTGATGTTGTTTTCAATGCTGGCTATTATTTGTTTACCTTAAATACAATCTGTCTAAATTTTTATAAACTCTTTCATGAAAGTTAATTTCATCAGTAGATAATTCGACAGCTTTTCTAACAGCAAACTAGATAGAACATTATTCTATTTGATTTGCAAGAAGATGCCAAGAATGACTGAGTTTGAAGTTCAGCTTCATTTTATGGACCAAGGAAGATAACTTTAAAGTTTATAATGTTAGATCCAGCTCCATTAGGCTAAGTTCTCTAGAACCAATCACTGTATCTTACTTCTATATCCCTGGAACCTATAACAGTGTCCCATAATCAGTCTAAGTTTGTTGGATAAAAAGAGTTGACAACATAATTAAAATCTGTTTTTTTCTCCCTGTTTTTAGTAAAAAGGTTATCATTGGTTCTCAAAAAATATCTGAGTCAAATATTTACAGGGGTTTGAACTTTAACTGATAACAGCTTTTTAAAATACATAATAAGTATTTTTTGCCTTTCTATGATTCTTTTTAAAAAGGCTTTTTACGTCAGAAAATACAGGCAGGTAGAGAAAGAATGCATTTTTTCCCTTTTTATTTCTAAGGTTAACTGCTTCTATAGATAATATTTCTTGTGTTCCATGTTGGGTCCTTGATTTCTCTCTGTCAAGTGCCTTATCACAAATATGGCTCTGTACTGTTGCTTTTGGAGCTTTGTGAGTAACAATTCTAAATTCTAAACATGATAATTTTAAAGAAGTTACTTTGTTTTTAATGCAAAAATTTTAAATGATGTCCTTATATTCATATTATTTGACTTTATTGACAGTGTTCTATTTTACTTGTTCTGTGTGTTATGTTACTTTCTCTGGCTCTGTTTCTCTCCCTAGTGGTTCATGTCATGTGTCAATGACTAAGCCAATTAATTTTCTACTATATAACTCTGGACCTCTTTGATATAGCATCTTAATTCTTTGTAGATATGGAGATGTGTACAGAACCATATTGTAAAGCCCCACAATGGGGCTGTGAAAGGGGACAAATGGATGAGCAAAGAAGAGTTTTGTGTAGCATATCAGGTCATAGTTCTTGATTAATTTTTTTAAGTTAGAGATAACACATATAGCCCTGGCTGATGAGGCTTGGTGGATTGAGCCCTGGCCTGAGAACCAAAAGGTCACTTGTTCCATTCCCAGTCAGGGCACATGCCTGGGTTGTGGGCCAGGTCCCCAGCTAGGGTCATGAAGAAGCAACTGGTCAATGTATCACTCACACACTGATGTTTCTCACCCTCTCTTTCTCCCTCCCTTCCTCTCTCTCTAAAAGTAAGTAAATAAAATCTTTTAAAAAAAGATAACACCTATAGTATGTACCTGTACCACAGAATTGCATATTTTGATATTAGAAAAATATTTTTCTAATGTGTCATGAAAATTAAAAATTTAAAATGTACAAAAATAAACTTGTTAAAAGCAAATTTTATTTCCATTTCTTTGGGTCCATTACTCTAAAATGTTTTATTGAAATATTTCAAACATAACAGGATAGGTGAATGATTTAAAGGATACCAATGCATTTCCACAATACAGATTTAATACATGTTAGCATTTGGTTAGATTGTCTTCAGATCTTTGTTTGTACAGAGGTTACTCTGGTTTGAAGCGATGGAAGGATGGAAGAGTGAGTGAAATGAATAGACAGGAAACCAAATGGCTTCCAGAAAAGCATTTGAAAATATTTCAGATGCTAAAAGATGGTTTCAGAAGTATATGCATATTTTGTAAATTCACATCATTTCTAAGACTGTCAGATATAGGTCACAATCATAATTTTTGTTGGAATATATTTTATCCTGTCTTTATGATCATTGCTTTGGTTCTTTTCTAGATATGCTTAAATTTTTTTCATTCTATCATTTAATAATAGCAGTAATACTTCTTTAGTAAATAATCCTAACATAACCTTTGAAAATAATTTAAATGTATTTTTACTTTTGTAAGTTTTTTTAGATTTTATTTACTTATTTTTAGAGAGAAGGGGGAAGGGAAGGAGAAAGAGAAGGAGAGAAACATCAGTGTGTGGTTGTCTCTCACATACCCTATACTGGGGACTTGGCCTGGAACCCAGGCATGTGCTCTGACTGGGAATAGAACCTTCAATCTTCTGGTTCACAGGCCTGTGCTCAATCCACTGAGCTACATCAGCCAGGGCTACTTTTGTAAGCTTTTTAAAAATTATAATCTAAGTAGTTAGAGAATTGAATATCATAAGCAGAATATCAATATCATAATTGAATATCATGTAGCTTTTTGACCTGGCTGGTGTGGCTCAGTGGATTGAGTGCTGGCCTCTGAACCAGAAGATTGCAGGTTCTATTCCCAGTCAGGGCATATGTGTGGGTTCTGGGCCAGGTTATAAGTCGGGCGTGTGGAAGGCAACCAAATGATGTTTCTTTTTCTCTTCCTTCTTTCTCTCTAAAAATAAATAAAACCTTAAGAAAATAGCTTTCTAGCCCTGGCTGTTATAGCTCAGTGGATTGAGTGCAGGCTGCGAACCAAAGGGTTGCTGGTTGGATTCCCCACCAGGGCATAAGCCTGGGTTGTGGGCCCGGTCCCTAGTGGTTGGGGATGTGCAAGAGGCAACCACACATTAATGTTTCCTCTTTCTCCTTCCCTTCCCCTCTCTCTAAAAGTAAGTAAATAAAATCTTAAAAAAGAGAAAATAGCTTTCTATTCTGATTTTTATTGAAAGTATGTCACATTTCTTACGTAGAAGACTAATTGGAACCATTTCAAGTAGGAACAGAAAGGACTCAGAGCAACCCATCTTTTTAATAGGATTATATTGCAGGTAAATTATTTTCAAAAGAAATTTATACAATTATATACTCAATAAATATTTTTTGATTCCAGTATTTTTATGTTTGAACATTGTTGGTGTATTTAAAACCACCTGAAAACATTTCATTTTTTTAAAGTTTACAAGTTATGAAGGCATAAAATTCCTACAGCTCAGAGACAAGAAGAATAACTAGCAAAAAAGAATGATCCGTTTGGCTGTGCAAAACGGAAAATCAATCTCTTGATAACAACTGCTTTCTCTTTAGAGCAAACATGTCTGTAAAGGTTTTTCCTTCCTGAAGTTAGGTTCCTGAATGTGTGCCTTCTAGCTCTTCTTTCTTTTTCCTTGTAATTGCTTGATTGAGATACAATTTCCATGCCATAAAATTCATCAGTCTAAAATGTATGGCTTTTATTATATTTGTAGAGTTGTTTATACATCACCATGTAACAATTTTAGAACTTTTTCTTTTGTCCAAAAAGATACTCTCCACTTCCTAGGCATCAGTCACCCTTCCAACCTTCTCTCCCCCTGCAAACTCTAATCTTTATGTCTCTGTGAATTTGCTCATACTAGGTATTTCATGCAAGGGGAATCATACAGTATTTGTCTCTTGTTTCTGGTTTATTTCATATTTATCATGTAGCATGGGTCAGAACTTAATTCCTTTTTTGGCTGAATAATATTCCATTGTATGCATATACTACATTTCATCTATTCATCAGTTGATGGGCACTTGGGTTACCTCCATCTTTTTTGGCTACTATGAATAATGCCAAAATGAGTATTTCCATGCAAGCGTCTGTCTGAGGCCTGTTTTCAACTCCTGGGTTTATGCCCAAGCCCGAAATGGCTGGATCATATTGTAATTCTGTGATAAGCCTTTGAGGAACCACTAACCTGTTTTCTACAGTGGCTGCATCCTTTCACCTTTGAACCAGCAATGTGGAAGAGGTTTCAGTCTCCATGTCCTTGCCAACATGTTATTTTTTAAATTACAGCCCTCTTAGTAGGTGTGATGTGTTATCTCATTGTGGTTTTGATTTGCATTTTCCTAGTTATTTGTGATGTTGAGCATCTTTTCATGTGCTTATTGGCCATTTGTATATCTTTGGAGAAACGTCCAAGTCCTTTGTCTATTTTTGAATCGGGCTCCTTGTCTTTTTTGTTGAGTTGTAGTTCTTTAAAGAAGCCCTCTCAAATATATGATTTCTAAGTATTTTCTTTCATTATGTAGGTAGTTTTTTTTCCATTTTTCGATAATATCCTTTGATACACGAAAGTTTTTCATTTAGATGAAAAATTTTTCCCTTTTGTTGCTTATGTTTTTATTGTCTGTTGTATCTAAGGATCAGTTGCCAAGTCCAAGGTCTTGAAGACTTATTCATTTTTTCTTCTGAGTTTTATGTCTTATATTTAAACTTAAATATATAGGTTTATATATTAATTTATGCTGAGTTAATTTTTATATAAAGTATAAGGTAGGGGTCAAACTTCATTCTTTTACATGTAACTTGTTCCAGCATCATGTGCTAAAAAGACTGTTTTTTCTTTGTTTGATTGTTTTGGCATTTTGTTGAAAATTAATTGACTGTAAATGTGAAGGTTTTGTTTCTGGACTCTCAAATTCTGTTCCATTGATCTAAATGTCTATCCTCATCCTAGCTTTTCTGATTCGCTCCTTATCAACATTTTCTCCTTTTCCAATCTGATGTTCTCAAAGGAAAAAGAAAACAGGGCAGGAAGTAGCCGAGAAGTGCTGCTTTGAGTTTATACTGGGTTCATAGCAGTAAATACATTATATTGTCTCTCACGTATATGGAGACTCGAGGCAGTTAAGATGAATTCTCAGAACAGAATATCTGTATTTTGCAAACAATCAGACATTTTCTCTGACACTTTTATACTGAGTGTTTGAAAACCTTAACCCCTTATTTCAAACTGCCCATGATTCTGATGTTTGCTGACATGCATGGCAGACAAAGAGCCACTACTTGAACCCAAGAGCCACAGATGGACTTTGTATATTTCGTCAACACAGTTTAACATTGAACCTTGAGAACGCTCTATACTACTTCCAGGAATTTACTGCAGCGCCATGCACATAGACGGTACTCAAGAAGTGCAAACAGAATGAATGAATCTGAAGTAGATTTCTCTTAAATTTCCTATACAAAATATGTGCTAGTGTATACACATTATCAATATAATTGATTCCCTTAATTTATTTCAGCCATTAATAGAAAGTATTAATCTTGTGGCATTCATTTTAGGCTAATCCATTTTGAAGTACCCCAGTGGAGTTCAGAATCAGCTATGAACAGGAATTGAGTCTGGTTGATTGAGAAATTAGTGACAATTCATAGGAGTCTCTGAAAAGAGCTGGCTTCATTAACTTAGGTGGCATCTCCTGCAGTGGCCACATTTCTACCCAGATGAATGATGGAGCATATGTTTTCTGCCTTCTTTTTGATCTTCTTTGTCTGTAGTTATTCCAAAACTGGTGGATCATTTCTTTGAATGGTCTTGTGGTCAGAGTGTAGAGAATTGGGTTCAAAGCACTGTTGATAGGCAAAATAAAAATCACTACCCAAGAGGTTATAGTACCTGGAAGGGAAAAATGAAATAGATTTTGTATTTATGGATGTTTGCTAGTCATAGAAACCCCCTTTCCTTGTTTCTACCCCGGCTCCCTTTTGAGTCTTTTTTCTTTTTCCAATTGATGTTACATAATTAAAGACTAAGTCTATCTGTGTTTTCAGGATGCCTTTCCGGGTGCCAGTATTTGAGAGGAGTGCTGGTGCTTCAGAAAGTCAGGGTTGGTTGCTGAATAGCTTTTCTAGACTACATCAGAAAAGTATTCCAGCAGGTGGAAATATTCTCCCTCAAGTGGTTACATATTGTTTTAGTCTGATTCCATTTTAGGAAAAACAATTGTTTGGTATGAAATCATACCTTTGAATGTTTTAATTACTAGACAGTACATATAGTATTGCTCTGAATGTATACTTTAATAAATTTCTTTTCAAGTATTTCATTTATTTTTAAAAAATAGGTATATTTTTTTGGCTTTTCACTAACTATAATATTTCAATAAAAACATCTTTGACTAAACTTATCTTAGAAAATCATTGTAGTATGTATATAACTACTCAGATTTTCATTAAAATTTAATTAATGGTATTTTTCTTTATTGTTTATAAAATATAAGATACTATCACCACCAACCATGGGATAAGACAAAATTAAAAATGTATGTTTATAAATTTTTAAAACTATGAATGAATACTGCACTATATGTACAATTAACAGGATTTTTCACATTTCTAAAATTGTGGTAAAGTACATATAACAAAATTTACCATTTTAATCAGTCTCAAGTGTATTGAGTACATTTCACATATTGTGCAACCCTCGCCACCACACATCTCCAGAACTTTTTCATCTTGACAAAATGAAACTCCACACCAAATGACCCCCTATTCCATTCCCCTTCCCAACCCTTACCCGCACCATTTACAACCCTTCTTTATGAATTCGACTCCTCTAGGTACTTCCTAGAAGTGGAATCATACAATATTTATCTTTCTGTGATTGGCTTATTTCAGTTAGCATGTTTTTAAGGTCCATCCATGTTGTAGCATGTATCAGAATTTCCTCCCTTTATAAGTCTGAATAATAGTACATTTTCCATATATAACATGTTTTGTTCGTCCTTCCATCCATGGATGAACCTTGGGTTTTTCCCACCTTTTGGCTATTGTGAACGATGCTATGCTATGAATGCCTGCTATGAACGCAGGTGTCTGAATGTCTGAGTTACACTGCGTTTTCATCTGTCATCTAGCAAACTCTGGGGTAATGTTCTTTGCATTGCTATGTATGCCAAGAAGAAAAATTTCTTACCTTCTGAAATAAATAATTATTTAATAATCATTTTGACCTAGGTTCCTCATGGTCATCTTAAGCATGGGATTACCAGAATTTCAACACACTGAGTGTAATTTACTTGAGTCATTGTTCCTTTGTTCCAAGAGTAGTTATGGTTTTAGGCATTTATGGAAAGAACCGAACAGCTTCCAGTAAACATTTTATTGATGAAGGGAAACTGAAGTACATATAACTTACAATTCTTGAAATGAATTAGTGTTAAGAATCTTAACTTTCTTTTTAGAGGAACACTGTAGAAACGGATACATTATTTCTTTATGGAAAGAAGAAAAAAGTTGTACCTGGTATTTCTACCTGAAGAAATGAAAGGAATTTCAGTACAAAAATGGGGATCCAGCATAATGCATCAGTAAACACAATAAAGAAAAACCGTTTGGCAAGGATCATCTCTTGTTTAACTTGATTCCCTATTTCAGTTGCCGTTATGGTGCTTTGATGAACGCTGTAAAACATGCTTCCATAGGAAAAAACTATGATGATAAACGCCACCAAGTTAATACCTATTTAGAACACAAAGATTATTACTAATGTATATAAACATTCTTAACAAACAAACATATCCTTAGCTGACATTATTAAAGCAAAGATACAAAAACCATAACATGTGTTTTGTTGATAAGAATTAGTAGGGTACATAGAAATCATGAATTTTTAAAAATTTGAAGTATTGTTTAAGCAAAGAGGAATGATGAAATGTTTAATTTTCAAATGGCATATTAAAATGAGATCACAGTGATTCAGTGAATATCTTGCTAGTATTTAAAAAAATAATGTAATTGTATTGTTATATTTTGAAAAAAAATTATGAGAAAAAAACATTTGTATGTCTACTCAAGCCAAAGACTTGTCTGGCTACTTTGGATTTGTTCATATTATAAAGGCAAAGACTTAAAATATATTTTGCTTAGTGTTACTAGGGTGAATGCATGAAATACAAATGTTTAGTGTCTTGTCTTTTTTTTTAAAGGTGTGTCATGTTGGCATTTATATGATAAAAGGAAGTTTTTTTCAAAAATCTTTCAGGGGATTCTGATAGAATTCATCCCCAGTGTCAATGAGAAAAACTGGTTAGAAGGCCTGAGATGAAAAATCTGTAAACATTAGAAGGTATAATAAGTTCATGTTGGGATTTATTGTAACATTTGTATGAAAGGGCTCATAATACAGAATTCTTACCAAGAAAAATTGCCACTGAATAAATCTGGGCTCCAATAGTTTCTGTATCTTCTGAATGAAGAGGGAAACATACTCCATTGGTGCCATAGTAGTTTTTGAAAAATTCCTTATTGCTCAGTGGAACAAAAGCCACTAGAATCCCAATAATCCAAATGAGAATCAGCACTGTAATTGTTCTGCATTTTCTAGGTCTTAAATATCTAAAAGGATACACAATATATATATATTTTTCCAATGTTAGAAATGTTAAAAGTAATACTGATACTTCTGTAGACAGAATGGCCAAAGATCCCATGAAACGACAATGAAAACTCTCCATCCACCGTTGTGCGTGCTTGTTGTATTCTCCACGAAACTTCAGGTCAAAGGCTCCAATCACAAGTAAATATATTCCCATTAGGCAGTCGGCACCTATAGGGATCAGTGAATTTCACAAATTTAGAAAAACAAGTAGGTATAATGGAATTATCAGTAGGATATCAATTGATCAATTATCAAGATATTATCAATTGATTATCAACAGAATTAATTACCAATAAGAACAATCAATAGATTCACTATTGATATAAATTGATGAAATTGACTATAATTTATTGATAATTATCAAGAAATCATTGACATTTGGGTATATATAATGTTATATATATAATAACCAAGTTTCTTCTATCTTGAGGGAGCTAATTCTTATTCTAAGAATTCATTTATGGGTAAGGACTTCATCAACTCTCTGAGAACCACTCTTACAGTGTCCTTTACAGCTAAAAAGTAGTCATTTCTCTGTTCTCCATAAACATGTAAGTCCATGAGAGCAGGGACCTTGCCTCTTCTGTTTTTGTTCTAGCTCATCACCTAGAAGTGTTGCATAAATGAGTAAACTGCAATTATGTTGAGCATTGTATTAGGGACCAAGATGGAGATGCTATTATTTGGTTCACCTCTTCCACTGAAATTCTCTCAGCTTAATGAGCTAAAGACATCAACCAAAATCTCAGAGAAAATGGCTCAGAAGTTGCTGTACTAGAGTACTAATTCAGAAAACATGAATAATTATGACATGCTCTGCAGTCAGTACAATTTTAGGGATCTTAAATTATTTACACAGAGCTGGCCTAAGAAAGCTTGTTCTCTCTGATTCTCAGTTCCTGTTTTTACATGTTTGTCTCATTTTAGGCTCTCCCATTCCCCACATCAGCTGTGGATGTAAAAATGAGGCCAAGAAAGGTTTTACTCATAGTGAAAGATTTTACAACTTTAATAATATATTATGCCTCCAGAAGAGAAAACTTAAATGAATAAAAACTTCTCTATGAGACAAAAGTAATGAATGGCAGCTTCATTAATCTGTGTAAGATGATTGAGTTTTCCTGTTTTAAAATTTACTTTCTCATCACTAAAGTAATTTTATTTTAATTATAGTGAACATGAAAGCAACATATAAGCAAAAAGAAGAACTTTAAAAAAATAAAAATTTAAAAGATTTTATTTATTTATCTTTAGAGGGGAAGGGAAGGAGGGAGGGAGAGAAATATCAGTGTGTGGTTGCCCATCATGTGTCCCCTGCTGGGAACTGGCCCGCAACCCAGGCATGTGCCCTGACTGGGAATCGAACTGTGATCCTTTGGTTCACAGGCCCTCGAAAAAGGAGAACATTTTAAAATCTCATAATTCTGCCCTTGTTTCCTTATTCCCTAATAACTATGCTTTTGTATACTTTGAAACTGTAATTCCTCTTCAATCAGGAAGTACTCACAGCAGAGAGATATGACTGACATGGCATGCAGCTTGTTCTCAGACCTGATACAAGGTCGCATACAAATGACAACGATGTTTCCCAAGCATGTAACCACAGACACGACCCAGACGAACACTCTCTGAATGATGCTTGCCAAGAGATTCTCTAGAGATGAGATTCCATCAGTGTTTGGTTTACAGCTGCGAACATGTGGTGCATATCCACAGTACTGGAATTTCTTAAAATATCTGATGTGCAAAGAGAAGGTAAAAATCAGATTCTAAATTACTACAGTCTCACTGTCCATTAATATTTATTTTCTACATTTTCTCAGTAGGAAGAAAATATCTTAATATGAGACTCAGAGGAATGTAAAACATTAAGAACACTGAAGCTTTAAACCTAAGTTTAATTTTCATTAACTTGAATTTATTGTAAAAGAACATGTATGTGGGTGAGAACAGCAAAAGGGCATAATGAATATCCAAGTCTTCTACACGTTTTAGACTATAAATAAACTGTTAGTGTGTGATGAAGGGACTCCTTCAAGGAAAGCTTCATTTTTTTGTGTGTTCAGTGTAAATGTACCGTTACATGGCTCCTATTGTTGCTGCGACTGATCTTGCTTTCTAACCCTTAGGGAAAGAGAGAGTTTGGTGCGTTCTGCTCCATGTTTCCAGGGCTTTTCTATTATAGGAGTTACGGTATGTGCTCTGTAACTACTTGCCAGCTGCCTATCTCACACTCAGTTTTGGTACATGTTCATTGACCGAGTTCCTTCATCAATAGAAAGACCTCCCTTGTTGATAAAAACATTACCTGGGTAACCAGAAGTTATTATTGTGTTACCACCAACACCAACACTATTTGGCAAACATCTTCTAGGTTTCAGGAACAAATTCTCTAACTCCATGAGGTAGGTATTAGTAATGGAAGCACATTATTTGCTAGGAAATTTTCTAATAAATGCAGACATTGGGATGCAATGATATCTTTTTGTCTCTAAAGCCATGTACACTTGCAAAATATACGTGATCTTTACAGTATAAAAGTTGCAGTAATACAAGGTGAAAGCTTGACAGTTACAGGAAGTTGTTTAACTCTTGCCACCTGCATCCCCAGATCTGCATGGTTTCTGCTCAATTCAGGTCTGCTCCTTGAGTCGTTGTTTCTTGGGTTTTGTGAGCTACACCATTTTCTTCCAATACACTCTGGTTTGCTTACATTAGTCAAAGTGTTTTATGATGTGTGGAACCAACGAAACTTTTTTAGACAATGTATCTGAAGAATTATATATATAAAAAAAGAGTGTCCTGTGTTAGATTTAAAATGTAAGTGGTGGTGGCTTACATGATAATTTCTAAGTTATTGAGAATTGATTATCATGGCAAGGTAATCATTTTAATTCCTGTTACAAGACTGCATTCAATTAGAGAAAGTGTTTCTAAAGCGTGTAATGAATGGTACAATGAGACACTCAGTTTGAATAAAAGATTTTTTAAAGTTTACCATTGTATCCATACATACTTAATTCAGTCACACCTTGACATTGTGGGCAATTTTAGTTTCTTCCATGCACGGTAATTATGCATCTGTAATTACTTTGTGTTGCCTATACAAATTTCTTCTTCCTTCGGTAGCACATTCAGTATGTGTACAAACTACCAGCCCACCGGGTGAACATCCATATTTATGAGTGGTGTCGGAGCCGAGGAGAGCTCAGCAAGACTGAATGGGTGCCCTCCACACTCCAGTTCTCTGACATTCAAAAGTCTCCTTTGATTTTACCAAACCATGAAAAACTAAATATCATCCTGTTCAATTATTAACACTTAAGAGTTAATTATGGTTTAGGCAAATTAGTCACTAGGAAATGTTAATAGATTGGATGCATTGGGTGTAGATGTATTAGCACAATACATGTGGAAACATAAACAAATGAAGTCAAGGTGAAGAACAAGGAAAACATCTGCTTACATGTAAGAGAGATTCATAAGAGGTCTGAACATCCTTTGTTGGATATTTGAAATTTCAAGTCCTTCTAGGCTGCTAAAAATATCAAATTATCAAAATTACATGTTATACAGGGTATAATAAAATGAGTTTTTGTGAAGGACAATTTAATAAAATGCTGTTAGCTAACATGTACTCTGAACCAAACATTCGTACTTAGCCTATCTAGGCACTTTCCTGATCCCTTTCTGATTCCGTTAGTTGCATATATTTTTCCCTTTCTATCTTCCTCATTTGAATTTTTGGGTGCTCATAGATCATGACACAATGCTTTGTGCATAATAACTACTCAATAAATATTTGTGGAATAAATGAACAAGCATAATCTTTTAAACAATATTGAAATAGAAGAGTATTACATTTTTGAAAAATTTCTGATAATTTTTAAGTAAGAGTTTTTTCCTAATAAAATGCCATTTTACTGAGGGAACACAAATTAACTGAAGCCAAGCTTATCTTTTAAGGCACTTTTCAGATCCTAACAGATTTTTTTTTTTGTGGTGAAAGTAATGATTTATATTACCCACAATATTCTACCTTGTAATAAAGATGGATATATAAATTCTTAGAAATCCAGTGCCAATGGAGAAATGCATATGCATAGATGCCTTCAGAGGATTGAAGCAACCAATCCAACATAAGCTCAAGGTGATTATAGAACAATACAAAATAATTCATCATTATCTAATTTTTAATTTATAAATATATGATAAAGTTAATAGTTATCTGTTTATAGTCCAATAAACACTCATCTTACCTGGTTTTGTGGAGCTTAACTAATATCCTGGGAATAAAGCTGATTTAAAAGGTTCTATCAATATTATTTTAGATAATTTATTAGCTATTAGTATACAAATAACAATTTCATTGTAAAACATCCCTGTAAGCATATACTTACAGAGACTTGAGACTGACAAGAGAATCAAATTGGTTTGCTTGAAGTTTCTGGATTGGGTTATAGGAAATATTCCTATTTTTTAAAAAAGGCGGCAATAAGTCATTTCTAGAAACTGCTTGAATAGAGAGAAAGTATATCTGTTGTCTTTGGGTTACTTTTAAACATTAACAATAAAAGCACAGTAATGGCGCATGCCTCTTAGGATACATTAAACAGTTAAATAAATTAATGGAAATAAAACACTTAAAATAGTTTCTGGCTTTTAGTAAGTACTCTATGATTGTGTGTGTGTGTGAGAGAGAGAGAGAGAGAGAGAGAAAAGGAGGAGAGACAGTGAGTGAGCACTAAGACAGGAGCATGGAGGTGGAATTGTCAAGAAAGAAACCACACCTACTTCACATTTTGCTCAGGATAAGGTGATATGAATAATAGAAAAATATCATCTTATTTAGTCAAAATTTGAATTAGTGGAGTTGCATTGAATATTTTTGACATAAACTATATGTCGAACAGTGGTGTATTGTGCCAGCAATTAGTGAGGCATAAAGTAAAAGTAGAAGGCTCTAGCTAGAAGCAAAAAGGTAGATCAGAGTGATAGTACAGCAGAATTTAAATGCGAAAAACTTCAGAATCTTTGTAAAACAACACCTTGAAACAAGAGAAATTGATTAAAGGGAGCTTCTCAGGGCAAGTTCTCTTTTTAAGAATTTTTTTCTAGATTAGACGATTAGTTACAGGGGGAAGGGGGATGCTGCTGGGGGTTGGTGATTACAGAAAGAACAGAGGAAGAATGACAATGAAGAATGAACCCTATAAAAGAAACAAAAGTGAACTCAACAATTTAGGAATAGAAAAACACTATCTTAACATAATGAAGGCCATACATGAAAGCTCATAGTCAACATCATCCTCAGTGGTGAAAGGCTGAAAGCATTTTCTCTAAAAGCAGTAATGAGACAAGGGTGTTTGCTTTTACCACTTCTATTCAACATAGTACTATAAGTCCTAGCTAGAGCAATTAGGCAAGAAAAAGAAATAAAAGGCATCCAAATTGGAAAGACAGAAGTAAAACCTCTGTTCACAGATGACATGATCTTATGTGTAGAAAACCCTGAAGATTTCACACATATACATATGCATACACACAAACTGTTATAACTAATAAACAACTTCAGCAAAATTCCCAAATACAAAATCAATGCACAAAGATCAAGTACATTTCTATATACTAACAATGAACAATCCAGCAATGAAATTATGAAAACAATTCCATTTATAATAGCATCAAAAGGACAAAATACTTAGAAAAAACAATATAGTTCATGAAAGACTTATACTTTAAAAACAAGATGTTGCTGAAAGAAATTAAAGGGGACACCAATAAATTCTGTGCTGATGAATTGGAAGAGTTAGATGTCACTACTACCCAAAGTAATCTACAGATTCAGTGCAATTTCTAGCAAAATACCAATATATATTGCAGAAATAGAAAAATTAATTCTAAAATTTATGTGAAATCTCAAGGGAGCCTGAATAGCTAAAATAATCTTGAAAAAGAACCAAGTTGGAGGTCTCACACTTCCTAATTTCAAAACTTACTACAAAGGTACAGTAAACAAACTATGTGGTATTGTCATAAAGATGGATATATAGGGGTGGGTGAAAGGAAGTTTACAGTTGTAATACAAACAAATAATACAATAATTAATAAGAAAAGAATAAACTGTGTTTGGCATACTCACAACTGTAAATCTCCTTTTGCCCATCTTTGTATAAACAGTGGAGTAGAATACAGAGCCTAGAAATAAACTCTTGTGTACATAGTCAAATGATTTTCAACAAGGGTGCTAAGACTGTCCAATGGGGGAAGGGAAGTCTTTTCAACAAATGGTGCTGGGAAAACTAGATAGACATCCAAATGCAAAAAAAAAAGGACTTTCTTTAACCAGTGTGTCACAGAATTTTTAAAACATACAATACCTGACTATTTAGTCAAGGGCACTGACCTCTTTTCCTGAGCTTGTCAAATTAAAGAAATAACAACAGCCAATACAACAATGGCTGTTCAGTGTGAATAAATCGAAATTATACCTAATTTTTGTCAGATCAGCAAAGGATGTTTTTTTTGGTGTGCTGCAGAATTTTAGCAATTAATTTGTAATGTGCGATGAGATGAAAATGGTTGAAAATTGTTGGCTCGTACCATTTACAAAATCAACTCAAAATGGGTCAGAGACTTAAATATAAAAGCTAAAACTATAAACTATTACAAGAATATCTTTGGGAAAACACTCATGATATTAGGTTAGGCAATGATTTCTTGCACATGACACTAAAGCACAGGCAACAAAAGCAAAGATGAAAAAACTGGACTACATCTAAATTAAAAACTTTTGAGCATCAAAGGGAGCTATCAACAGAGTGAAAAGGCAACCCACAGAGTGGGAGCAGATATGTGCATGTTATATATGAAAAGAGTTTAATATATAAAATATATAAAGAACTACTACAACTCAACAACAACAAAAAACAATTAAAAATGGACAAAAGGCTTGAATAAATGTTCAAAAAAGATAAACAAATAAGCAAATTAAAAGATACTTAATATCATTAATCATTAAAGAAATGCAAATCAAAAACACAATGAGCTGCCATTTCATATCCATTAGGTTAGCTGTTATCAACAAAATAAAAAATAAAAAGTGTTGTTAAAGTTGTGGAGAAATCAGAACCATTATACACGGCTAGCGAGAATGTAAAATGGTGTAGGTGCTATGGAAAACAGTATGGAGTTTCCTCAAAAAATCAAAAATAGAATTACCATATAATCCAACAATTCTACTCCTGAGGTTATATACAGAAAAGAATTGAAAACAAGGTCTTGAATTGAAATTTGTATGCTTATAGCAGCATAAATCACAATAGCTAAAAGGTGGAAACAATTCAAATGTCCATCATGGATGAATGGAGAAACACGATGTGGTATACACACACAGTAGATTATTATTGTACAAAATAATCTTAATTCATTATAAATTGAAATACAAATAATTAATTAATTACTATTATTATTTACAATAATAATATTCAGACATTCTGACACATGTTCCAACATAGATGGATTTTGAAAACATTCTGCTAAGTGAAATAAGCCAGTTATGAAAGCATAAATATTGTGTGATTCCATGGATATGTGACATAGTTAGGGTAGTCAAATTTATAGAGACAGTACACAGAGTGGTGGATGCTGGTGTGTGTGTGGGGGGGTGATGGGAAATTATTATTTAACAGATATGGAGTTTCAGTTTGGGAAGATAAAAATGTTCTAGACGTAGATGGTGGTGATGATTGTGCAATAATGTAAATGTAGTTAATGCCACTGAACTGTACACTTAAAAATAGTTAAAATGGTAAACGTAATCTTGAACACATTTTATCACAATTTAAAACAGAAAAGAAATGAAGAAATAAAGAAACGAAGTGACAAAATTAGTATCAGTCTTACAATTTCGAGAGCTCCTTCAGATTCTTAAATACATGTGGTGAAAAACTTTCAATCTTATTATTTCCTAAATCCCTAGGGAAATAATTGCAAAAGTTATGTTATTTTCTTGAGACTTTATTTATTGTTCTATAATTGAATAGTAAATCATTAGACCGCTTTTAACAATGCTATTGAGTTACATTAATTACCAGATGTCTAAAAGTTTTTAAAAAGGGAGCGAAGTGGGAAAAGATAGAAATATTTTATCTCATTTCATGACTCCCTCAGAGACAAAGACTTGATGATATTTGACCTGGTCCTAATAGGTACAGCTTCCTAATTCGATGTGTTGCGTATGTGTTGTGCCTCTTCTTTTCCCTTCCTGCTTACCCACCTTCCTTTTTTCCATGTTAGAGTAGAAATACAGATTGGAGCTTTAATTTTTAATTTTGCTTGGGTTTATTACGATTTTGAAATGGAAGTGGATTTTCAAGAGCACATTTCTTTCACAGCTGATACACACTGGGTCCTGTATACTTCTTGGGCAGGATGCAGGTGTTCTCTCCTCTGTCCTCCCATATACTACCCGTGCACACTTCTTTCATAGTGCATATAGCACGTACAATACTTGCAGCATATGTAACATTATATTAAAACTGTTTCTACATATGTGCTCCTCTTCTGAAAGATGTGAGTTCTTTGAGTACAAGAACTACACTTGTTCATCTTGGGTATCTGGTATTTAATTTTCAACTAGCTCTTCTTTTTAAAAAAATTATTAACATATAGTCGGTATACAGTATTGTATTATTTTCAGGTGTACAACATATTGGGACCAGCTATTCTTTCTACCCCCAATTAGAAAACTACCAATAAACCAAATCTGCCTGCTTCATATTGAAGCAAAAGTGGTGGCACAATTCCAGCTCCTTGTGTGGGAACTGGGAGTAAAATAAAGTAAAATATGGGCCATGTTAGTGAGGCAATGGGAAAAGCAGATTTAGAGCAGTCCACTGGAATATTAACATGCCATATATCATGTTCAATGATTTCAGGTGGGAGTGTTGGCTATCAGAGTGAATTCTGACCTATAGTTCTTACATCATAAATCATGTAACGGGATGCTATTGGCCTAGATCCTAAGTGACATATGAAAGGACCACTTAATTTATCTCTTTCTCATTACTGTAGGTTGGGAGGTTACCCACAGCAGTGTCCAATTTCTCTGTGAGTCAAAGATTATCCTTTGGTTTCAGAATCAGCAAAGTAAAGTCTTTTTATTTTAATGATCTCTGAATCCTACCTCTTTAGGAAACTTAAAAACAAATTAGCTGTCCCTCTAGCAGTAGAGTAGCATGGTGTAGGATGTATTTTATTTATTAAATTCACCCTGACTATTCTTTCTCTGCATCTATGTTTCCTTTACCTCGCTTTCCTCAAATCTTACATTTTTCTTTAATGCACAGTTTTATGAGCTCTCAGAATTCCTTCATGGCTCAAGGTGTATATAAATTATGCTAAGAAAAGAGATAATAAATCTTTCTTAATGCGTAAAAACATATAAGTGTAACAAGTGTGAATTAAAAACAGTAGAGAGAAAAGTTTCATCAATATGTTTAATCGAACTTACAATTCATTTAGTTTGTGGAGGGGTGCAAAAGTGTTTTCATTAAGGTGATTAATTTTGTTTTTTCTCATTATCCTGAAAGAAAAAGAAACATACATTGTAGCTTCTTGAGGGAGCTGATAAATGACTTATTAGAGAAGAGATTAACAGCCTGCAAAAACAAAGGCAATGATATTAAAATCTTAAATTTCCAAATCTATTCATAATAAAAACAAAACATTCAAATTTTAAAGTAAAACAGGGAAAAACTTTGCAAGGAAAATAGTGAAATACTCAACTCTGGAGAACAGACTAAATATCATACAACCTAGAGCAGAGGGAGCCTCTTCAGTCGATGCAGCCTGTCTAACAAAATACCCGCCAGATGACGTCACTCATATGCATTGGGTAGTTGATGTAATTTAGGGTGCAGTTGTCTAAGGAAGTCTAATCTAAGCTGGACCAAGTTAGATCTCTAGTTTGGAATGTGAAATGACTATAACTCGTGCAGTTCGTTTCTGCACGGATCTCGTGTATATGAGCTAACAGACAAGTCAAAGGATTTCTAGTTCTTTAAACATTGTGTGACATGCTTAGAAATTAGCCTGGTCCCATTCTTTAGTATTTATTTCCTCGCAGCACTCGAAACTGTTATCACCTCCTCCCAATATCTCTGGACCAGAAAAGCACAAACACTTGCCAAGAGGAAACTCATAAATAATTTCTTCATGCAGAGGTTTCTTAAAAAACAAACACAAGTAGAACAAAAGAAAAGCTCTACGTATTTTTGGATATATATTTGGTGTATATTCTTGAGGTGGATTTGGTTTCCTTTGGGCAATCAGTGCGAACTATTTTGCATGATAGACACGGAACATCCTGCCTCTGAAGACTGCTGAACTCACTGTAGAAGTGGTCACATAGTTCCATGCCTTGAATCTATTGTAATGGGAGGCATAATTGGAGAAAAATTACTGTTGTTCCAGTTGCTGCTATTGCATTGCCTCTGCACAGGGGTCCTATGTGTTCTAGTATGATGGCTTTCAACTTTTCTGTGGTAACCCTACAGTGAAAAAATGCATTTTATTTAGGGACATAAAATACAACCAAATAATCCAAGATTCTTGAAACAGTACATTTAATGACTTGTTAAGTCATTACACTCTGATACTTTTATTCAATTCAATTCAACTTTATATGTAAAGAAATAATGGTAAGGACATACTACACTGTTTTCATCACTCATTGTGAGTTGCAACCCACAGTTTGAAAAAAAAAAAAACACTGTCCTGGGAAAACAAACAGAAAAGTAGGCAGTTTAAATAAAATGAAAATGATATAAAATGTATTTTTATATTAAAGGAAGCTCCAGAATCCTTTACTTTCATGGAAGAGGCATGTGATTTTAAAATAGGCCAGAGAGGCATAAGGATACATTATACTCAATACTATTCTAAGCTTTATCCTGGTGTTCACAATTACACACTCAGGGGGTTGAATACTCTGTAGCTCTTTAAAAATTTTGATTGTAGTTATTTTGTGCCCACAGTCTTTGCAGTAATAATTTATAAGGAGCAAATCTTCTTATAGATTAAGACTTTAACTTAGTGTTTTTCTCAAAGTGAGGTCCAAGGACAGATTCTAGATGGTCTATGAGAATTTCTTTCCATTCAAATGGCTATTCTTTAAGTTTGAGAAAAACAGACCTCCAACATATACTGCCTTTGTGCTGATTTAGTTATAATGTGACTCTGTGGTTTTCTATGGTAAACCACAATTTGAACTTGAGTAATTTTGCCCCTGTGCTTCAGTTTCAAAAAACTTCAAGTTGAGAGTGAATATTTGCTGTAATTACCATGCACATTGATGCTAGCTTCTGTTTACATGAGTGATTCATTTTATTTGTAAAGAGATATACCATTACTTGAAAAGGATAAAACATTACTTACAAAACAGTTAAACTACTGCAGGACATAAAAGTCATATTTCTTAAATTGTGGATATGGTTGCCTTCCAAGTCCCTGAAACATAAAAATAAAAGATAATAAAGCTAAATTGTCATCATAGGCAGAAATAAATTGGCTGACAATTATTTGCTTTCTAATAAATTTTTTTCACATGCTACTTATTTTACAGAGATTCTTACATGTAGCCACTTATGTAATAGCTAAAATTACGTTTATATAGATTTAACTATTCTTTTTCTGTGTTAATAGAGTGGTTTGAGTCATTACATCTGTGTCACTTATTCATATGGGCACATACGTTATCCTGAGGACTGTGAAAAGAAGAAACCAAATTGAAAAATTTTGCCATGGTGAACACTACTTGACAGGGACTTGACATTGGACTGACTGCATTAAGCATCTGTCCAGCGTTACCGATGGCACTGCTCTGCGTGGTGGGACCCTGTTTGGCTGTGGCCTGCCGAAGCTGCTACTGCCAAAACAATACTTAGCTTTTCTCTGCCTCGTCTAGACACTTCCCAGAAAAGAATTTCAGTAGCCTTTTCCACTGTAACAACCTCATTTGCTTTATTATATCCCCACACAAGCCAGTCCACAGGGAGACCCAGAGGCTCTCCTTGGACAACCACTCCCAGTTTAAGAAACTGCATTAACCAGGGGACCCTAAATAATTCAGAATTTACTTATAAAAATTATGTATTTATCCTTACATGTTTAAAGTTCAGTCAACTTCAAAGCACTCTCCATGTGATGTGATGTACCTATAGAAACTTTTTTCCACTGCTCAAGACAATTTTTACAGTTGTCAATTTTGGTGTCTTTTAATGCTTCTGCCATTTTTTTTTTGTTTCACTCTACCATGTCAGCAAAATGCTTCCCTTTGAGGATTTTTATCACCCAGGAAAACAAAAAAAAGTTGTGTGGGGCAAGATTGAGTGAATAGGGAGGGTCAGGCATGGGGGTCATGCCTTTTTTTTTTTTGTCAAAACTGCATGGTGTGGGCAGGTGTGCTCCTAAGTCCCCATTCATGAAATGGGCAAATGTATTGAAAGAGCCTTAAAAAAATTCCCTGAAGCTGAATGCAGCCTCTCACAACAATGCCAGCTGGTACACTGTTACGGATGGGTTCCTAGAACACATGCCTAGTGGGAGAAGCCTGTACTACAAGGGGCCCAGCCTCCAGAACATAATTATGAGTTTTGGGGGTTCCCCTAGTAGATCCTCCTTGAACTCTCCTGCTATGTGACTGTCACCTACAGGAGTCTGGTCTGAGCAGCAAAATTTGTCAAAAAGTTTATGCTTTATCATTCTCTTCTAGTTATCATGAAGGTATTCTTGTATTGCCCCTCTTTTATGGTTAGGTTTATGGTGAAAGTTTGTAGAACAGAGTTAGCTGAGGTTAGGGATAGACTTTCAAAAGTAAATGCTGGTCCTTACATCTCCTCAGTGTATACCGACCCTTAGTTTAGTGGTCACCATATAACACAGAGCTGTAGGAACAACTGCAGCTCAAATATATGAGCTCAAGTGTGATGCGGCTACTAAAACCTGTAAGGGAAATACGGGGAACAGTAAAAGAAGGCCGACACTCCGCTGGTTAGGTTACATCTGAGACAGTCGGGTCTATTCTGGGCACTGCAGTGAGAAACAGACATTGACAAATCAAAGTATACCTGGAAGGTCTGGATGCAAGGGGTCTAGAGATCCACTCGGCTGGAGAAAAGGGTGTGTTTATAGCAGAGAGGAGCAAAACAAGAGAGATATGCTTGAAGGCAGGTCACAGAATACATCATGGGGTTTTTCTATGCTGCGTCAGGTTGCAAAATTAGACTTACTGGTTAAAGAACACAAAACATTTTAAGTTTAGGCCCACAATCCAGAGAAAAACTTCTCATACTTAACAGAGGCGATGCATCGTAACTCAAGGATTTTGTAGAAAGAATTTCTATGCTACACAGAATATTGTATTAAAACCTCAAATCTTGAGTCTAGAACATTCTTTTAAAGAAAATTTTCTATTATTCTATTAAATTGGAAACTAAGCCCTTGCTGTTTTCGGTCATTAGTTTTCGCCAAGGCTTTTGGCCGCTCACAGTGTACGTGAGCAACAGACTGCTCGTTTCCTTTTCCTATTTTACTGCTGCTACCACCAATCGACCACCAGGTGGCGATGTTCTCTTAAGCCTCACAAAATATCCTTAGTTATTTTTTCTTGCCAACTCCTTAATGAAACTTTTTCCCTATTAAGCTAGTGTTTATATTTGAGTTATTATTATATTTATTAACTAAAAAAATTAGTAGGAGATACACATAAAGGCATAAACTAGGGACTTTTGATTACATTGTTTTATTTAAGTTTATTTTAACCTCGAGTGGTAAGCTTGCTCTTTCTTCCTAAAATGAGAGGCGTTAGTCCTTGATGTACAGGGATCTGGTTTACAGCATACACAGTAGCTGAGATACCAGTCTGCTTCTTGCTTCCCAGCTCCCAGCTCTTAGAGAGCTGCGAAGGGCGTTTGTTTGTTTGTTTACTTCGTGTCTGGACCAATTTTCCAACTTGATGAGCCTCTGAACCTAACCATTTTCTTTTTCTCTTTATACATGGTAGAGCTGGCCAAAAACAAACATTTGGTTCTTAAACCTGTAGAAAAATGATAACAAAACAAAAACACCAAAATCTTGCCTGTTCCTTTCCAACTTTCTCTCTTATCCCCTAGTGGCATTCTAACCATGCAAACCTCCTTCACCTCCATTTTCTCCCAACATTTTAAACATTTCTGGCTTCTATTTCACAGAAAAAATTGAGGTGATCAAGGAGGGAAAAGCCCTTGACTTTCATCTACAGACTCACCTGTGAATGCACCTGGTCTCCTTCTAGTCTCAGATGACCTTTTTCCTGCTTTAGGGTAGGTAATCCCTCTATCTATTCCCTTAAGTTTGGTTTGTGTATGTGTATGTCCTAAAATATATGGTCAATTTTGGTGAATGTTCTTGGGGCATTCTTAGTTTGCAGTTTTATCTCTATCAGGGTTAGGTGCAGATACATATAACAGACCCAATTATAGCAACATAACTATATGAGGAATTTTTTTCAAGGGAAAAAAAAAACATTTAGAAGTAGGCAGTCAGGGCTAGTGTGGTAGTTTTACAAAGTTGTTAGAAGCTCAGATCTTTCACATTCACAATTCACATGTCCTAGTTTCATGGGCCAAGATAATGCTAAAGTTCAGCCACAATATCCCTTTGTTCTGGATAAGGAAGGGAAAGAAGGGTCTGCCTTTTCTTTCTAAGGAGATGTCCCAGAAGTACTTCTGCAATCTCACTAGTTAGTCCCATGGCTAGATCTAGATGTAGGGAAGTTTCGGAAGGTAGTGTTTTAGCAGGGCACATTGCAGTCCCAAATAAATCAGTTCTGTTATTGAGAAGGGACATCACAGTTTGACATACATCAATTAGGGTTAACTTATTAAATATGTTATTTAGTTCTCCATATCCCTTTATGGTTTTACTTGGACTAGTATTTCTTACTGCTTATGTAGCTATATTTTTCCTTTTGTTTTGGTTGTTGTGTGAATCTATTTGGGGTATATATACTCATAATGTAAGATCATTTATTACATTGTTGTATTAAAAATTGCAAACTATCACACTTAAGTATCCTTGTTAGTATAGGTTAATGCAATTGGCCAGAATTCTACTTAGATAAAAAATATGATGCCTGCATTATTTTTGGTTGCATCTATATGCATACTTTTGATCAGGCTCTTGGTTTTAATATTTCTTAATTACTTAGTTATAGTTGTATTTTTTAAGCTTTTAAAAAAATATATTTTTAGATTTTTAAAAATTTATTTATCTTTAGGGGGGAAGGGAAGGAGAGAGGGAGAGAAATATCAATGTATGGTTGCCTCTCATGAGTCTCCTTGCTGGGAACTGGCCCACAACCCAGGCATGTGCCCTGACTGGGAATCGAACTGCGATCCTCTGGTTCGCAGGCCCGCACTCAGTCCACTGAGCTACACCAGCCAGGGCTATAGTTGTATTTTCTTTTTGTTAATAGTAATAGGTTGGGTTTTGTTTTATGAGTCAATTAGAAAATCTTTTTTTCTTTTAATAGTTTAAGTTTAGATCACCCACATTTATTGATAATGTCTAATATATATGATCTTAGTCTACTATTTGAAAACATATGGTTTTACAGATTAAAAACATTCAACAAATGGTTTGATTAAAAAATTATTTCTTCTAATATTAAAAGATTTGCATATTTTATCAATTACCAGAATAATTAAAACTTTAGCCAATATACTATATTTTCTCATTGTTAGGGAGTAACAATTCTTACTAATTTCCTATTATAAAAATGATGGAATTAGTATATACTATCTTCCTTTATGTCCTTCTACCTCTCTTCCACCATATGATTTAGATAAATTATATGCTTTTAATTAATGTTCATCTTAGAAATGTGAAATATGCACACATTGGTAGATTTGTTGGTTTTAAGTGACATGTCTTGACTCCTAGGTATTTTTCTTCATAGTTCTATGGTTTCTACTTCATTGTGAAACTGCCTACTCATTTAAAATTATGATATCTTCTTGCTGAATTGACCCTTTTGTCATTATGTGATAACCCTCTTTATTCCTGGTGATAGTCCTTGTTCTGAAGTCTATTTTTTTCCAATATTTACCAACCCCCAACAGCTTTTTAAAAAACTAGTGTGACATTTCTGATCTTTATTTTACAGTATGTAATATCTCAATTTTCTCTTGTTGCTTTAAGGTTGTGTTTTGTTTTATTTTTTAATTTTTGACTTTCAGCATTTTGACTATAATTTATCTAGATTTTTTCCTACTGCTGCTTGGGTGTTCCTGAGATTCTGAGGTTTCTGGTTTGTTACATTATATTAATTTTGGAAAATTCTTGGCCATTATCTTTTCAAACATTACTTCTATTCTCCTTCTGTAACTTTGCACATTTTTCAAGTAATTTTACATCATTCTGCAACTTTTGGATTCTCTGTTCCATTTTTATTTTATTTTCTTTCCTCTTTTAGATTTAAACTGAAAGCTTTCTGTTGACCCACCTTCAAGGTCCTAGATTCTCTCCTCAGTTGTGCCCAGTCTGCTGCTATGCCTGAAGAAGTAATTATTTGATTCTCTCCCATCTCTTTGCAGACGTGTCCCAAGTGTTCATGGACATTGTCCACCTTCTTCACTATATCATTTAACTATTAGTTATACATATTTCCACTTCCCTGTTTGGAGGTTGTAACATAGGAACTAGCTCTGGGTCTGGTTCTGCTGATTGCTTTATAATTTGACGATGGACTTGTTTCTTGTTCATTTGGGTTGTCTCTGCATTGCTTCCCCCCTGCCCTAGAAGTCCCAACACAAGTGAGCTCTACCTACTGCTCTGTGGCAGCCCAAGTCCTGGCTGGGGACATTTTTCAGCCCCTTCCTTGGGGGGGGTGCTTTTGCTTCCACTTCTTCTTAGGAAGCAGTGGATCTATGCCTGCTCCCTGGCTGCAGGAGGATTTTTTTGTCCCTTGCCCAGTGGCTTCAGGCTTTTGATTCATAAAAGGAAAGTCTAGAGAAGAAGGTGAGGTTTTGTGCCTGTGTGCCACCAAGAGGGACTCTCTTTGATTTCTTTACCTGCTCCCAGATTCCCTGTGAGCTCGTGCAGACCAATGGAAAGCAGCCTGTTGGAAGTAGCTGACTCTTCTGAGTGTGGGGTTCCCAGTTATTCTAAAATGTTATACTAGCCCACACTTAGCCTTTATAAGTGTATTAAAATCTTAGCAGCTTTCTTTGTATGTGTTCTATAACTGCCAACTGTTCACTTGGTGCTCTGCTGAAGGTGGGACATTGTACATATGCCATCTCTCCTGGTCATTCCATAGAACTTGGATGGACTTCAAGAATTATGATTTTGTAGATTGTAAAGTTCTTTCTCATTGGTAGAGAGGGAGCAATATCATCTTGTGGGTTTTTATAGCCTAAGTACAATATTCTTAGAAAGGAATTGTGATATAATATCTGTATTACATATATAGAAGATATATATAGGAGTGGGCAAAAGTAGATTTACAGTTGTGAGTATGTGATACCCAGAATTTATTCTTGTATTATTTATTAATTATTGTATTATTTATCTGTATTATATCTGTAAAACTACTTTTGGCTTATTAAAGAAATATTTTCTCCATACTGTAATTCAATTTTGTTCTTGAAATTGAGACATGTTGATTGAAAATATAGTGCATTCATTTTCATTGCTTTGTGTGTATCATAATTTATTTTTCCATATCTTCCAGTACCTTGCTCCATGATATATCCTCATTGTTTTCTCTATTTTCAAATTCTTTTATTGATTGATCAATAGATTTATTGATTTATAGATTGATTGATTTTAAAGAGAGGAAGGGAGACAGAGAGAGAGAAATTGAGTTGTTGTTTCACCTACTTATGAACTTGTGCGTTCTTGCATGTAACCTGACTAGGGGTCAGACTTACAACCTTGACGTAATGGGATGATTCTCAGTTCAACTTAGCTATGTGGCCAGGGCTTCAAATTCTTTATATTAGCTTCTTCTACCCACATATAAACTTGCTCAGTCTTATCTCATACTAAAAGTTTACTTTATTCTCTGGATCTTCAGTTTACCTCTGGCTTTTACCCTTCTATTGATATACTTATTTACTACTTGTTTCTTACTTTTTAACTTTTTCTACTTTTATTGAAGTTTTTACAGTTTCTAAAATCGCTTTGAAGGAACTCAGTTAAAGGTTTTAATCTGTGTTCTGTCATATATTTTACAAGCATATTATCCTAGGGTATTACACTTTTTAATTTTATATGAATATTTTTTGGCTAGTACATCTATAAGACTTTCTAGTTCATACTTGCTAAATAAAAGCTCATGGGAAGGTAAAGATATTGTAATTATTTTTCAAAGAGATAAATACTTATAAAGCAAACATAATTTTTTAATTTTTTAAAAGCAAACATTATTATTACTGGCATTAAAACTGGGATAACAGTTACTATTAGGACTGCATATGGAATGAGTTGTTTTAAATAAATAAAACTTAAAGATGGTAATTTTAGTAATAAAATTTTTAAAAGTCCACTTCTTTAGCAATAAATCATAATTATTTTTATGTGAAATGTATATATGGCTGCCTTTTTAAAAACAAAGAGAAGGTTTATTATTATATGTGCATAATAGCTCCCACATTTGCTTCTGGTCTCAATGCATGCATTTTTAATTGCTAATTTACTTATGTAAATATTAATTTTGCTTTAAAACTAAGTTTGTATTACTGAGCATGAATAACTATGAGTGTACTCATCTGGACCAAAATTTAATTACAACAGAGGGTATATAACTTAATTTGCTATTTCCTTAATGACTTTGACTTGTCATCAGTGAGGACATTGTGCCAATACCAAACCAAGATGCTCTCTGCACTAAATAATGATTTCTGGGGTGTTTGCCTTCCCCCCAACAGTTCTAAACTAGTATGCTTTAAATCACTGTCTGGTTTTTATAGGGTTTCTCACTCCTGTTTTATTCTCAGGTTGATGGTTGTCCCTTCTGACAACAGTCAGTGTTTCTTACTCTAAGTTCCCCCACTACTTGCACCTGGCATTTTAAATCTACTGTGTGCTTTGAAATTTTGAGAATTTCCTGCACAATAAGAAACAGAGGGAGTTTTCATAGGACAGTGCATATGCCACTTACTGGTCAAATGTTTTAATAGTTATTTAGTTTATTTATTTCTTCATTTACCTGCTTATTAAATGTCAAATTTATAGGGTAATTGAATTCTGAATAGATGGCATGATACTTATTACCACAAGCAAAGCTATTCTGTAACAAATTCCATGGAACATACATATTCTATTCTGATTAGACTTCAGAAATGAATTGTAAGTATCATGTTCTCATTATGCAGAATTTAGGAACTTCAATCTTTTCATACCAAATTAATAGGTGAACAGGTCAAAGGGGGGATGTAGATGCTATATAGATACTATGACCTTCCTTCTGTCTTCTTTCTGCTTCCAAGTTTTTTTTTTTTTGAGATGTTTAATTTTGGTGAGAGTTTCGAGGAGTTAGTTTAGATAATGGGGATGTTTAATAACAAAATCATGCTAAAGTAATTTGAGAAAATGTAATATAATATTAACAACATATCATTTTACAAAACCTAATATCCAAAAGAACTGAGCAAAACTAGAGAAGTTAGTTGACTTCTATACAAAAAGATACAGCAACTTACAGCCAATTCAGTCTTTGCATGTGCTGACAAAGAGGTTTATCAGGCAAATGGGTGAGGACATTATTCATCAGTTCCCTGAAAAAGAAAAGAAATTTAAAAGGTCACATTTTCCTAGTTCTTTTTTTTAACCTAAGTCAAATATGGTATTATCACTATTCTTATGAAACCATGGAAATCTATTAATTATCTTGTCTATTTTTTTCTGTGGTGTATTTAAGTGCTTGTTAGTGATAAAATTTGACAAATATCTGTCATACGGAGGAAGCAGTAATACTAGTAACTGAACAGCTTACTTATTAGTAAGCTTGTGCCTTTCAATAGTGGGCAGAGAAAAGGAGGTGATTTTAAATGAATGATATTTAAAAAAATATCCTTAAAAATCTTACATAGGATAGTAATGGTATGCTTAAGAATATTTTAATAAAATATCGCCATGAGGCTGTATTCAGTTTTGATGGGTTGACATTGTAGAAGACAAAAAATCTTATGAAAAATCTTAGAACTACAAAATAGTCTCATACATTGTAATTAATAAATGATTTTTAGCTGAAAAGGCTTTTAGGGTTTTAACAATTCCAAATTGAATGCTGTTAAACTCAAAGCAGTAATTTTTATTCATGTCTTTTAATTAAAATATTTGCTTTAATTTTAGTACTTACAAGAGCATAAGAGAATTTAGTCCAGAAAATGTTAGTGGGGAAACTCGACTGAGCCGATTATCTTCAATTATCCTGCCAGTCCAAAGAAAAAAAAGGATTCACTTATATATATTTAGAACATAAAAATTAATACTATAAAATGCCCAATAAATTAAACATACAGCCATTCTAGTTTGTGGAGATCTTCAAAAACACCTGGCTTCAAGAAGGTTATTCTGTTATGACTAAGAAACCTGAAAAAGGAGAAATGACCACAATAAATGTGATATTCCTGATATCTTACAGTAAGGAAATGAAAAATAATAATCATCCACTTTAACTTTTCTTATACACTCATCTCATCATACTATTGTCCTTGCCTTTGGATCCCTAAAAGTTCTTTATCATTTATGTTTTTATGTCTTGTTTTTAATTCTCTCATAATCAGCCAATAAACCAATCAGTCATGTATTCATTCATCTGTTCATTTATTCATCAGATGGTTTTCGGCACCTACTCTATGGCACTATGTGAGGTATGCCACTTATTTCTTCGATGGGCTTGAGTCTAAAGGGAAGACAGCACACAAACAGGTTATTACAGCGAAGGGGGAAAAGATGGAAGTGCACGATGCGTGGCTGCTCTGACATTGCAGGGGAGAAAGCATCTGGCTTCCCTTGGGTGGGGACTGCAGAGCAGGAAGGAGCAAGGACACAGGGAGACTTCACTAAAGGAGGAACAACCAAGAAGCATCTTGGATGAAGACATGTCACTCACAAAGCACAGACTGTATAGGAGTTACTCCAGGCAGAGGAGATTGAGAAGGACAAGTTAAGGGATCAGAGCATAATTCAGGGTGGCCTTGCCATGGGCCCATGAGAAACAACAGCTGAACCTTGGAGGCAGCCAGAGGCGTCGGTTCTGGATAAAAGACATTGCATGCTTTGTTAAAGAGTTTGACTCCACCCTTCCTACTCAACCTCTCACTGTTTTACAGAGTAAACGCCTTCTCTTCATTGTTGATGTTCTCCTCTTGCCATGTTTGTTTCTAGCTCAATTTCTTTAGTGCAACGATCTACTAAATATATGTGTTTTCTTTGTGTTGATCTGAATATGTTGCCAGGCAGTGTGATTCCTAGCTCCGTTTCTTATTTATAGTGTGACCTTAAGCAAGCAGTGAACTTCTGAAAGGCTCTGTCTGTCCAACTCCAACATGGAGATACTATTGCTCTCTACTCTTTTTGGTTGTTGCAACATTTGAGGCAATGCATGGTATCAGCACTGGCAAGCCATATGTATTCAGTACAATATTATTTATTATTGTATAATAATACAATAATACTGTTGTACGACACTGTTTTTTGATTCACGCCTCCCACTTCAATTTCTTTCCTCTCCTTTTTCTTCTCTGCCTATGATTCATATACAAGTATTCAAATTTCACTTGCACTTATACATGGACCACACTGACTTTTTTTCTCCACTATGACAGATCTTAAATTGACATCTTGTAAAAGTTTCTCCTGTTGGGAATCTCCCTTTCCCTCACCAAGTTTGATTTTCCTTAGGGGTAGTAAGGAATAATGCCCCATATTAGAACCACTTCCTTCCCTCTCTTGCAAACCTGGGGCCTCAGGTGGGCCCAAGAGGAGGTAAAGAACAGCTTCTATACCTCCTTGGAATGCCACAGGGGGCTCCCTTAATGGCCAGTGGAAATCCCCCAGGTAAAGACATTTGATCTGCCCACGCACTTGGTGTTCATCTGTTTAGCCCAATCCTCTTTAGAGCCATTCTTCACTGCTCTGGACCCAAGATGGTTACTTCACTCACGGAATCCTAATAGCAGTATTGGTCTGAACTACACAGGTTTAGGACTTCACTTAGTAATGACTTCTATCATTCTCTGTTATTGGGTGTAGGTTGGTATTATCTCTCCACCTAAGACTAAGCTTCTGCAGAGCAAGAGGTTTGCCTCTCCCCAGTGAGCACGATGCTGTACCTGAACCCAGATGTGTGAGCCGCTGGGAGGAAGCTTGTCTGATTCACATTTCTATGCCTCCCCACCACGGTGTCTAGCCGAACTTGCACAGCATAAGGACTGATGAATATTTATGGATGAATGAAGAGCAGGGATCTAATGATTATCTATGAAAAATCAGAAGTCTGTGACATCTTTAGTACCAAACAATATTCCAGGTCTATGAAAATCAACCAGGGAAAGAGATGGAGGATAAATTAGTTTATTCTCCAGGTCTGTATCTCCACATTCATGAATACTAAACCAAGAAGATGCTGTTTAGTTAAATCTGGGACAGTCATAGTGGGGTTGGAGAGAAAGAGAGTGATGAGCCTGGTGAGAATGGGTCCAATATTGACTTTGGCTAATTTGTTTAGACACGGAAGAGCAGAGATGGGATGGAAGGGAAGAGAACATGGCTAATGTGATTACAGTGAATGCTTTGAGTCTCCAGTGACTTCTTTAACTTTGCTTGTAAAATGATGAGTGGCCTTCAGTCCCAAACTCTAGTAACTCAAGCGAGGAATCTGACTGGAAAGAGTTCCTTGAGTCTGGATAGAAAGCAAGGGGACAGAAATGCAAATGCAGGGAGTTGTTTATTCACGGGAGGATGTTAGGTTCAGCTACTGGGTAAAACACAATAAAATGAAATTTTGAGAAAGCCTATTTTTAACAGCTTTGCTGTTAACCATGAGATACAAGTTCACACCCATTAGGTTAGTGGTTATAAAAAAAACCCAACCCAAACACCAACAAACGCCCCTAAAAATCAAAACCATAATGTGTTGGAGGAATTGAAACCCTAGTGCTTTGCTGGTGGGAATGTCAATGATGCAGATGCTGTGGAAAATAGTGTGAAAGTTCCGCTGCTGGGTATGTATCCAAAAGAATGGAAAGCGAGGATTCAAACGGATATTCGTGTGCCCATGTTCACGGCAGCGTTATTCACAGTAGACAAAAAGTGGCAGCAACCCAAGTGTCTGCTGATGGATGAGTGAGTGGTGGTGATGGTTGCAAAACAATGTGAAAGTACTTAACGCCACTAAACTGTACCAGTTAAAATGGGTAAGGGGTACATTTTATGTTGTTATATTTATCACAATTTTAAAACAAAGCTTTACTCTTAACTTTCCTGTGATTAAAAAATATATTCATACAGGTAGGATTAGTAGAAAAAGAATAATTGGTGAAGTCTTTGGGTTTTCACCTTCATAAATTTTAATTATCATCAGGCTTGCTCAGTTTGATTAAGCTCATTCAATCATTATTGCTGTCACCATGACTAATGTAGGATGCACAAATAGTTTTTATTGTGTTCTAGGCATGGTGTGCCCCACTCTTCCAACAAATTTTTTGGTTTATTCCTCACAACAAGCCTGAGGTGAGTACTGTAGTAATTTGCATTTTACAATAGAGGGAACTGATGCTTGGAAAGAAAAATAAATTGCTCAGGTTCACACCCCTAAGTGGGCAGTGAAGTCAGGCCTTGAAAACCTGTGTGACTCGGGATCCCACGCTCTCAGCCACAGGGCTGCGCACCCCTTCAGCTCTCCGAGCTCCCCCTGGGCACTCCTGTGGGTGGGAGAGCTGGCACGGAGTGGGAGGGGTCAGGCTGAGGGACCACTGTGGAAGGGACAAACGGATGGGTACTTACAGTTTAGTAAGATTGTGCAGTCCTCTGAAAGCATAGGTGGATATGGATCTAATCTTATTGTTTTGCAGGCACCTGTGAAAATGATTATTAAAAGAAAATCATAATGAAACAGATTTTCAGTTTTTTAAAAATTTTAGTTATTTATCTTTAGAAGGGAAGGGAAGGAGAGAAACATCAATGTATGGTTGCTTCTGGTACGTGCCCTGCTAGGAACTGGTCCCTACTGGGAACTGGCCTGCAACCCAGGCATGTGCCCTGATGGGGAATCAAACCTCAATCCTTTGGTTCACAGGCCTGAGGTCAATCCACTGAGCTACACCAGCCAGGGCTCCAGACTTTCAGTTTTGCAAGATGGAGAGAGTTCTGTGGCTGGATGGAGGGGATGGTAACATGATGTTGTGAATGTACCTATTGCCTCAGAAGGTGCACTTAACAATGGTTTGGATGGTACATTTCGGTCACGTGTATTTTGCCACAATTAAATTTTTTTAAAGTTAAAATTGGTAGACATAATGAAGTGATTTTGTGAAGTTGGATATCATGTAACTTTGTTTTGCTATGAAATGCATGAGTGAATCCTGGCTGGTGTAGCTCAGTGGATTGAGTGTGGGCCTGCAAACCAAAGGATTGCGGTTCAATTCCCAGTCAGGGCACATGCCTGGGTTGCAGGCCTGGTCCCCAAGTAGGGGATACACAAGAGGCAACCATACACTCTCCTTTGCTCCTTCCCTTCCCCTCTAAAAATAAATAAATAAAATCTTTTAAAAAAGAAAATAAAAAATGCATGAGTGATTAGCCTAGTTTTTATTTAGAAGTGCTAGTTATAAAAATAAACAAGTAATGGCTAAAATTTAATATTAGAATTTCCCATGAATAAAACTTTAATGCACAGTTAGGCACTCACTAATAAAACAGGCCCAGAAGTCACGCTTCCTTTCTTTTTTAAGCATTTTTCTGCTAGAATTCTTACAACTTGTTGGTGTTTGACATGGTGCTGGAGCATGAAGCATGAGTATGTGACATTGTCACGGCCCCCAAACATATTTCATGTTAATCACAAAAATACCAAGCAAGCCATTTTTAATTTTGTTAATTTGACACAAAGTCTTGTCCCCCAAAATTGTTATAGAAACTTATGAGGCATCTACATGACAAGAAAAAACAAAAATAAAAAGAATCAGGTCTAGAAGAATATAAATTAGATACGACTACCAGGACAAGAACGCAGGCTTACATATTTAACTAAAGTCACGCTGGAAGTTTGGCCCCGCGGCAGTTGGAGGTCAAAGAAAATAGGCCCCAGGTGATGGGCAGTGACCAGGTAAGGGCTCCGAGTCTGATTTCTTGCTCTGCTTGCTGGTCACAATTATCCTTTAGGGTATTCTGAGTTTATACAGGAAAGGGAACCCCCTGAAAAACCAGAATTGTTCTCTGGAGGGCAGGCTTTGCCCAGTAGGTGAGTGTTCTAGAAACTCATCTGTGTCAGTGTACCAGCTGGCATTGTTGTGAGAGGCTGCATTTGGCTTTAGTAAATTTTTTTTGAAGACTATTTTAGAGCATGTGCCCATTTCATGATGGGTGATTTAGGAGCAAACCTGCCCATAGTGTGCTGAGGGTTCAGCAGTTTTTCTCCATTCCCCCTATTCACCCAGTCTCACCCCAGTGATGGTTTTTGTTTGTTTGTTTCCCTGGATGAAAAATGACCCTAAAAGGAAATGTTTTGCCAATGTGGAAGAGGCAAAACAAAAAATGGCAGAAGCACTAAAAGGCATCAAAATTGATGAATTCAAAAAATGTTTTGAGCAGTGGAAACAACATCTAGATAGGTGTATTACACCAAATAGAGAGGACTTTGAAGGTGACTGAAGTTTAAACATATAAGAATAAATACACAAATTTTAATAAATAAATTCTGTTTTATTGGGTCCCCCCTTGTATATATTTATTTTATAAATTTTAGGAACAATAAAGGAGAAACCAATATAAATGTACTCTCAGTTAATTAGAAATTTTGACTAAAAGAGATTCCCTATTTTTCCAACATGCAAGAAAACCTACCTTTGATTGTAAAGTATTATTACTAAATTTATTATGCATTCAGCAATTTCACAAAACGTATTGTGTCCCAATCACACAGTAGGTAATCCATCTTTCTCACTAATACGTAGAAAGACTTTAATATGTGTTTGTTTCTTTGCCTCTAAGTATTGTAATAAGCAGGCAATAGACTATTTCCTGGAGGTTGAGCCAAGTTATACATCTAATAACCAACTTTTAAAAATTTGGCTATTTTGATCTTAATTGGAACAGATTGGCTGTTCATAAATTAATGTTCACTATTTAAAAATCCTAAACTACCGTATTATATCGACTTGAGTTTTGGTATGTAAATTTGGAGTTCTCACTTTTTTCAAACCTGTGGACACAAGGTGGTGCTGCAAATCCGAAAAATTCCCTACATGACTGAAATCAGATACACAGAGTAAGGAAGAGTCATCTTGAAGTTTTTTTATCAGGCATAATTTTGGAAAGCTCTTTCCTGTTGGTTTATAAATGTCCAGACTAAAATTCTAAAATGTAATTTTTATTGCAATTTTTGTTTTCAAATATGAATACTTTTTGCTGATTACCTAGGCTTTAAGAACATTTCATTGAAATGGATTAATTTTGTTCTGATTCTGCTTTATTTCTATGTTATTTTAAAGAAGACTATACAGATACATCTTTACGTACCAGGTTTCTCTAGTGTAAAACCCAAACTATAAGCAATACAGGTATGAAAATGAAACTAGAAATTCTGAGATGATTTCTAGAGAGTATGATTTAGGCACCAAATATTTAAACCCAGTGGTTCAAGCATGTGACAATATGACTGAGTTACATGTTGATCTCCATAGCAGGTAAACATCGCCTGGGCCCTTATGGATTTTGAGAGTTCATACATCACCTGAAAGTCCACCTACACTAAGAAGAAAGTAGTGTGTCTGATACCACGGGAGGCCAAATGAAACACAGATGTGAAGGTGGAATGAAGTCCCTGAGCAACATGCTCAGTGGTTTCAAACCATGAGGATTTGCTATCTCAGGTCTAGACCGAGTTTGCAGACCAGCGGGAGAAATCTCTTCCCTGTCTAATCTTGACTGCAGGTCTGGTAGAAGTTCTTCACGTCTTTCTTTAAGATGTGTATTAAGGTGATTCACTGTGAAACACTGCTGAGAGAACAACCTCCTGATGGTCCTTGTTTTGGCAGAGTATGGCAGGAGGACTTACAGCACACACTTTCTAGTTTTTTGGGGGATGGGTATCTAAGATTTTTCTAGAATGGCTTCTAGAACTGCTTTTTAAAAAAGTTACCTGGTAGTCTACATCTAACAGGTAAGTATGTCCCCAAAGAGGAATTAGATTTAAGCAGTGGTACAGTGTTGGTGTCTACATAAGTGGGAAGAAATACATGCACCAAAACATGTTAGTTAATTTTAATACCAGGAATCAAATTTTTTCTTACAATCTCCAAAGATCATGGTACTTCTTGAAGCCATAAGGAGGAAGTTTTCTTATTAAGTTCTTCTGAAGTGACCTGAAATAAAGGTAAATTTTGAATTCTTACTTGAAGTTTTTTTCTTTATTTTTAAACTACAATAGGGGAAACTATAAACTTTATGTACTTAACATCAGCTTTCAGGAAACATTTTGTTCATGATGTTATGTTTATATGCATAGTATTCAAACTAGGTGTAACTGTTGATTTTGTATTCATTAAAGATATTCTCTTAAATTAGTTTACAGCGCTGACAAAAAACTTAAAAATAATAAAACAGAAAATAATCTTTAGTTATGTTCTTTTCTACATATATTTAACAACTATTAGAAAGCATCTCAGTTTTTCGAATGACAATAAAAATAGTGTTTCTGCTTAAAACACATTCAATAACATAACTTTATAGTCTTTAATATTTTATTGCCCAATTTCCACTATCTTTACTTCCTTTTTAAATTAGTTATAAAGGAAACTATCAAATGGGACAAAGAATTAAATCATCTTTACTCACTGAATAATATATTTTAATCTAATAAATTATATAGAAAGATTTTGTTTTATACTACAATTTGAAAAGCAGCTTGACACAGACCAGGTCCACTTAATTGTGTTTGAACTGAACAGTACTTAAGCCTTTAATTTTTTTAAAAGTGTAATATAGTAGTAACAAAATAAAACAAGCAAAAAAATCCTGAAATTTTTGCAGCTGGGACCCCTTGCATGAATCATACATACATAATATTTCCATGTCAACCTCTTCCTTTAAATGTAAAAGAATGGATTTGGACTAGATTACCTCTCATTATATAGTGCTATTACTATTAGTAACATTATATAAGATGACGGGACAGGTGCTCATTGATAAGCTGTCTGGAGGTTGACCACTGTGGGACAGACACTTGGAACACAAGGTAGACATGAAGGACTCAAGTTAAGACACTGCAATGAAGCCCTGACTGGTGTAGCTCAGTGGACTGAGCATGGGCTGTGAACCAAAGTGTCGCTGGTTCAATTCTCAGTCAGGGCACATGCCTGGCTTGTAGGCCAAGTCCCCACTTGGGGGAATACAAGAGGCAACCACAGATTGATGTTTCTCTCCTTCCTTTCCTCTCTCTCTAAATATAAATAAAAATAAAATCTTAAAGAAAAAGGGTATTAAAAAAAGACGGTGCAATACAATAGGTGCTAACAACGTTGTGAGTTTGTTTTGGACCGGTGTTGCTTAAACTTGGTAGTGAATGCTTCTTAAAGAAAAACAGTTTCTCAGTCTCCCTAGAACACAGTTCTGGAATCTGATCTGAGAAACACTGTCTAGATTCTAGAAGACCATGCATTCTCCATGTGGGTATTAATGTTCGAAGGGAGTACGAATTGGTTTTTAGGGAATAAAAAAAAAGTTTGACTTTTTTTAGTGGATAAAAAACAGGTGTACATAAACAGAAATCTAGTATATATGTAGTATTAAAATTTTACAGAGGGAACACATAGGAAAATTGCTTTAAAAGCCTTTGAGGGGGACAGTATTTGAGAAAAATGTTACACACTGTTCCAGATGAATAATTTTTTTAAATGAATAAATACTAAAAGCTGATCAAATCACTCTTAGCTGCTGGCGGAACAGGTTAGGACCCCAATCTCAATATTACAAGAAGGACGTACGATACACCTGAAGGAGACACGGTGAGACCCTGTGAGAGACCCCGAGAGGGGGAGGTTGACTGCACCCGAGTGCGACAGTCACGGTAGGGGAGGAAGGACCATTTACGGTCCCTTCAGTAATGTTGCTTAGACAGTTGAGGTTGTACTAATTGTGCCTATGATTTATAGGCTTATCTCCAAATGATGCCAAGTATTTTCACGAATCTCTCTCTCTATATTCACAGTGCCCCGTGAGACAGAAACAGGTAGGTGTTATTACTGACACGTAATAGAACAAACGAAAATACTTTTTAATATACTAGATTCTTGAATTAAAAAAAATTTAGTATTCCACGTTTGAGAAGAATCACACAAAGTGAAGTGTGTGAGGGACTGCTGGTTTTATTATTATTGTCAAAGTTAGCTCTAGTTTTTATAAAGGAAGCTCTTATCATTGGGTTATGTAGTTTTAATGATTCCATTCCAGAACCTTCAAGTCGACGTTCACACAAAGTTAATGTTTAGCAAGTTAGAACAATGTGTAGATAACCATATTCATCTGTTGTCTCTTTTGTTCATTAGCATTTACGTGAAACATCTTCAAAAAAATTCCAACTTCAATGAGTATTATTTGGATTTTCGGCTTCTTTAATGCTACTTTTATATAATTCAGTCCACGTCTGACATTTCCCTATAATAGGTCCAACTCAAAACATGGAGTGAGGCCCGTAATAAAATTTGATATTTACTCTTCTAATGTATTTGCTCTAAAGCCTCGAGCCCCTTTTCTCTGTGGAATTGAACAAACACTGGGATAAGATATGATGCTGAATCACTCTCTGCAGAGAAAAGTAGAAATGAACTACTTGAATCAAGCTGCCCAACCCAACATGCAAGAAAATACTATTCTTTTAAAACACAAAATAAAATAAAATGGCACAGACCTAAACTCCTGGGCTTCTTTCTCATCTCCAAATTCCTGTTGGGAATTTCCACTGAGTGACCTGTTCAGCTCACATTGAAAGAAGCATCTAAATCTGGAGTCCTAATCTTCCCCATTTACTGTCACTGGTCTCCCCCTTCTCAGAGCACTTGAGTAGTCAGAATGGCAACCTGGTGGTCATCTTGGACCCTTCCTTCTCCACGTCTTTCTATGGCCTATCACTCATGACCCCGTTTTTTTCCTTACACCAAAAACTGGTGGCTAACATGTCTGCACATATCTCTTTATGTGTATGTATATGACTGGATATATGGATGTATGTATGTATGGAGCCATAAGAGTGTTTTTGCTTAATTGAATCAAATGCCTTTAAGTAAAACATGCACTTTCTAGTCAGTCATTGGCTTATCCTCCCACATTCCCTAGCTCTCTTCTGTTTCTCTTTACAAAGGTTAGTCAAAGTGTTTAAGAATAAAATCAAATTTTATTCGCTGAAAAATAAAAAATGAGACTGGTGGCATCAAGTTGTTTTTTGGTTTGGGTTTTCTAGTAATTTAAAATAAAAAGTATGGGTAATAATTTTTTTCTTTGACAATAGAATAAAATCATACATTTTTATACCCAGCAGTTTGAGCCAGAATTTCCGAGTGTGTCCAACCTGTGGCCTGTGGGCGGCATGTAGCCCAGGATGGCTGTGAATGTGGCCCAATACAAAATTGTAAATTTACTTAAAATATTAGGAGATGTTTCTGTGATTACATGTCACAATATATTTAATGTGTGGCCCAAGACAACTCTTCTTCTTCCAGTGTGGCCCAGAGACGGCAAAAGTTTGGACGCCCCTGAATGGCAACTTTCCGTAGGACCTCAGATTATTTTTTGGAGGGATTGTTATTACTTTTTTCTAGTACATCTAATTACTATAAAAAAAGCTTTGTCAAATGGAAGATAGGATAGAATTATTCTTAGTTTCGGTGGGAATGTTGCCTTCTTTGGCAAAACTCTATGGCTAATGCTGTCTGATGCTCTCTGCTCAGTATCAACTTGGATAAACTTTCCAGGAGACTGTCAGTGCCGGAAACTCCCCAGATTCTATCGATCACAAGGCACCACTCTCCCTGCAGCTACTCCCCATCCCTGATATACACCAACCATATGAGTTTCTGGGTTATGTGAAAAGGCAGGGCTTGCCAACATTTATATATTTAAGAATTACTTCTATTTTGTCCTCATATACCCAAAAGTTAGAGCCAAAAGTCACTAAAGTATCAGGATGAAAACAAGGAACCTCAGGAAAAATATTAGAGTAAAATATCAATTTTTCACTGATTTCCTTTGCAAGTTTCAGTCCAATGTATTTATTTGTGTTGCTGAAGTTTGTTGAATTCAAATTAGTATGGGATCAACAAACTGCTAATTATGAGGATTTTTTTACATATATAAGTTTGAGTTACTTAGTTAAGAAAACAATATCAGCATCTCCAAGTCAAATGTGATGCAGAATAGTTAGATTTTAAATGTGAAATTATGGGAATTGTTTATCCAATTTATTTCACTTGGTTTTATTTTTATTTATACATAAGAGTGTATTAAAATTATTTTCAATAAAGTCTAAAAGATCTCTTTCAATATGTGTCAAGTAAAAACTCAATAAAATATGAAAGCTTTATATAATAGTTTAATTGACAGCTTTTTAGTAGCTCATACAACTGATGGCATCTTTTGTTTAGATGAAATATGTTGATACTACTTCATAGTATTGTTATGAGGGACTAAATAAGAATATATGGAATACTTTAGAATGGGGAAGCATTTAATAAATGCAAAAGAAATATCATAATCCACCATGGAACTGTGACATAATCTTTGAATAAAATGCATTATTAATAATGACAAAGCCTTCATTATGTTTTACACATGTTGTTCTGGCTGTCAAGACAAAGCCATTCTTTTCTACTTACATTGAAGTCACATTTGAAGACACTGATGGAATAGCTCGTATTTTGGTCTCATCACAGTCAAGCTCTAAACCTTGGCACACACATTGCGTGGGCACAGAACCGACCACTAAAGGAAGAAGAGGTGGTAGGGCATGAGGACAGTGAGGGACCAGGAAGAGGAGGGTAACAAAAAGAAAGAAATAAAAGGCTGTGAAAATTATTTAGTACAAAAGTATATCCGGTCTCATCTAAGCTATTTGGGCAGTGCTTTAAATTAAGGCTCTAAAGTTTGCTTTTAATTTACCATTAAAGTGGTGCTAAACATTAAGATATGAAAACATACAGGTTTAAATAGCAGACTGCAATTACCCAGCTATTGCAAATGAATGAATGAAGTCATTTGCTCTTACTCACCTTGGGGGAGACGCTGTGTGTGAGGGAACGTGATGGGCTTTGATGTCCATATTGAAGCGCTACTTAAAAATAAAGTATTTACTGATAGCATAATGAAACCTTTAATGGAGAACTAAATCATTTTTAACTATGATAAAAGGGGAGAACTAAACACTGAGCCATAGTGCTAGTAGATTTTTTTTTTCTGAAAAATTCAGGAGTTTTTCCCAAAGAATTTTTAAGTGATCTTTTGGCTTCTGTAACAATGTAAGATGTCTAAAACTTTATGGGAGTGAACTCTTTTTTTTTTACATAAAGCTAGATTATTCTCATTAATGGGTGTGGAAAGTGGGAGGACGGGATGTATGCCTTTGGCCATTATGTGGGGCTAGATGCTAGAGTGATAGTCTTAAAGATGTGATCCTTTATTTCTACAGTCGATGAGAGACTTGCAATGATGTGTTTATACAGCTAAACAGTAAAGTGGGATTAGTATTAGGCATAATAAATATAGTCTGATTCCTACCTGGATGAGGAATAAACGATTACTGAGGGCAGGTGGGAGTGCTCTCCCTCCACATTTACTTTGAAGCCCTGAACTGCACAGCAGAGATGACAGACCCAGGTAGCTACAGAGAACAGGCAAAGCAGGTATAGCTGTGTCCGGATGTCCCAGTGGGACAGCTTCCTTCTCATTGTTGCCATATTAGGAAAGGACCATGTATAGCTAAGTCACCTAACTTCCCCAAAGACTCCAGAAATGCAATTTTTAAATATAATTACCTATTTTAAAAATGACAAAAGCTAACAACATTTAAAAAGATCATAGGGCAAACAAATCTTCTTATGGGACTTTTCCTGCTTGCAGGATTCCAATTTTGACTTTTACAGTAAAGCTTCCAGAGCATAGAAATGTGTCTTCCTGGCAAAGCAGAGATGCCTGTGACAAGGCTGGTGGATGACCGCTCATGAGCGCAACTGACTACATCTCCTGGAATAGTAATGTCTCTCCTTTGCTCACATACGGGGCAACAGGTGTTCGTCCTCTTCTTCCAAAGAACTCTGCAGACATCTTTACAAGATCACGAGAGATCAAGATAGTAACTTAGGTTTTGCATTTTTTGTAAACAGAGTCTCCGCCAAGAACTTTTAAACAGTTTTATAGCGGTAAGTCTTCCTTTTGGTTATGGGCCTCTGAAAACTGATTCTGTCTCTCTACACAAGAGCCATTCTAATGTGAGTGTGTTTATGTCGTGTGGAAGGAATGGGCAGGGTTTGACAGGAAGGTGGAGGTCCTGAGAGTGAGTGAGAAAGGCAGTGAGACTACTTTTCATTCCAGTGTGTTTTCCTATTTACAGAAGGTGAGTTAAGGTAATCCATACATGCTGATTACAGGGTTAGCTATAACAGGGGCAAAAAACCACCTAAATATCCAACAACAAAAGAACAATTAAACAAATTCTGTCAACTTAAAAATATGTTATAGTGTATTTTTTAAAGGTTTGTAATAATAATATATTATGTTCATAATAATATAAGCATAGTGTATACTTTAGATTACACTAACATGCTAATGAAAATATGATAAAATGGTCTGTACAGGAAATTTTAACTATGTTAAGATGAAAAAGGATGAGTAATGCACCAGCTGCTAGTTAATAAATTATGGTTGAGTACAGAATTTTCAAATCTCTGTACTTTCCAATTCCTCCAGTTTAAACTTTATTAACATATTAGTTATTTGTTAATATGTTATTGGTAAGTAATGCATTTTCCATAACACTGATCTTAAGAGGTCACTTTATAAATGTGATGCCCTCACATTCCTTCATTCAGGCAAAAAATGATTATGGTCATCCTCAGTTTAATTTCCAATAAATCCTTACAATAATAATCGGATTCAGATAAGGTGGCACAATAGGAACCTTAATTCAAGTATCACTCCCAAATTGTATACTACACTTTCTATACCATTTTATATTGCTTTTGAGTTTCAAAACATATTTAATTATTACCAGCTTTCCTTGAATTTTCTTTTAAAAAACTAGTTAAAAATTATAGATTTGTTCTTTACTAACTACTGATACAAATTACCTCTGTATTTTTGATACATCATTTATTGTGTGGCTCCATTCCTGTTGTCCAATTATTCTTGTGACAAAGTTCTCTCAGAGTTCAGGATCAGGCAAAAATTTATTTCTCTTGCTTAATGATCTGCTTTCCTCCCATTTGTTTGTTTTCACTTTACAAACCAGACTCTGAAAGTTACCTAGTTCGCTTGCCACCCCTCTCTTTGACCTACTGACCACAAAATTCAGAACTAAGCTTTAGATGCAGCTACTGAAGTTTTTTTCAGTGAAGATTTCCTTATTTTTCTTTGCCACTTTCTTTCCCATTCACCGTGGAGTTTTGGTCTTTTATGTTATATTAATGGCTTGAGTTAGTATTAGCCATATTTTTATTGTGAACTGCCTAAAATCCTTTTGGGAATTAGGTGAGATACAAAAAGATTCTACTAAAATTTAAGAAAGGAAAAGTATACGCAAAAAAGCAAAAAGAACAACTATGTTTTGAGATGATGTTGCCTAATCTGTTGACTTTTTTCATTATATTAGCAGTTAAATTATACCTGTGAATTTTTTTCTTTCCCTACAGCTTTTTAGCTTTTCAACAATCAAGTAACTTGCTCTTGACATTCGGGGAAACCACGTGAGCCCGAGACAGATTGCTGAGTGACCTAGGAGACTTGCCGGAAGAACGTGCAACCCCTTAAACTGGGGATTGTTAGTAGTTTTTATTAATCTCATCTGAGCAGTAAAGACAAAAATATTGAAAATAAAAACAAAAGCTGCAATTTATAATTTGTGGTAGAACATAAGGGAAACAATGTAGACTAAAGGATTCCCCCACCTCCACCCTTGCTTTTTAACTGAGGCTTGAAAAGCTAGGATCAAAATTATTGCATAATTCCAAGGTGCCAATTTAAATTTGCCCAATTTATTAGAATACACTACATTTATTTAAAAGATATTCCTGATCTAACATATTACTGAATTAATCCTCAAAGTTGTATCTCCCTTACTCCTCCAGTGTTTTTGCAAGTTCTTGCTATACCACTAAACATAGCAGGTTATAATTAATGTCTTTTTATTGAAGCTCTAAAATACAGTTTCGACCTCAGGAGATTTTTCACTTACACGCATTAAAATCCAAACAACTTGTACGCCCTTTTGTTTTCACTGTTTCCTTTACATCAGAGTTTATAGGGATTGTAAAACGGGGACATATAAAATGGCAACTTGACTGACAGGGTTTTTGTTTACAACAATACTTCGCACGATTGATTACTTTTACACGTAGGATCCCTGAGCTATTTTCAGATAAGATTCTCAAATTAAGACTGCATGTCTAATGGAGTTTGTAGTAGGAAAACTATAACTTTTTAATGTTGGATTCAAGTTTTAAGACATGGTGTCTTCTTATGAACTCATGGGAAAGGAGAAAACCGCCCTGATTACTTACGGCATTTTGGTGTTTCTAAGTGAAAGAGACGTGGAAAAGCTGTTCTGTTGTAAATGCCATAGCGTTTCCCAAATAGCAAAGGCCATCCATTGTCATCTCCTAAAATAAAAACCGGAGAGCAGAAAAGTTCAGGAAACCAGAAATATTCTGGTGTCTTGGGAAAAATGGGTTCTCACTTTAAAATAAGCGAGAGATTCTGTTGTCTGACAGCTGTCACAGTGGAGGAGGAAGGTGAGGACTGGATGAAAGAGGGTGAAGGGATCAGCCAAAGAACATACATGCATAAGCCATAGACAGAGACAACAGGGGGGTGATGGCCAGAGAGAAGGATGCCAGGGGCTGGGTGGGGGTGGGCAAAGGGGGGTAAAAATAAATGAGTGATTCTCAAATTTAGTGAGATAAACATTAACTGAGAGCTTGTTTCAAATGTGAATTTCTGGCCTCACTTCTACAGATCCTGATTTTGTATGTCTGAGATGGGTCTCCTAGTCTCCATTTTTAACAGGCACTCTTGGTGACACTTGGGCAAGTAGTGTTTGGACCATACTTTAAGAAGAAACAGTATTTTAGTCTACTGAAACCTAACACACTGTTCTTGGCATATTTATTATGATTCCCCTATCTTTACATATATATATTTCATCCTTACCTGAGGACTTTTTTCACTGCTTTTTTAGAGAAAGAGGAAGGGAGAGAGGAACGAAGAGAGAGAATCATCAGTGAGGGAGAGAAGCATCTAGTGGATGCCTCCTGTATGTGCCTGGACTAGGGATGGAACTTCAGCCTACGTATGTGCCATGAGAATTGAAACTTTTGGTTATGGGAGACCCTCCAACCAACTGAGCAACACCTGCCAGGGCTCTCGTCTTCAATATTAAAACTAATGTTGGAGATGTAGTAACATGGATAGATGGTCAAGATAGTTAAATTAAAAAAGAAAGAAAACAATGAGTTGTTGAGAGGCAAATGCATGGGATGTTGAGTCACCAAAGGGACAGATTATGAGAAATATGGTCATTGTATTGCACAGCTGCAACAGACCCATAGTGGATACTACAGACTGACTCCCTCAGCTCTCATTCAACAGCCCCTTCTCTGGCGTGTTCCTGCAGAGCAGAGACTGGAAAGCTGACAACATTTCACACCTCCTTCATATCCAGGATCTAGGGTGCACTCACACATATTTTGATTGGTAGAAGAGAGAAAAGTCGTTTTCTTGCAGCTGTCTAAAACAGAGACATTCTGCTAAGAGGCAGGTACAGTGTGGCAGGGTATTTTGGGTATTGCCAGCCCTGTGGGTGTCAGGAGGCAGCTGTGTTGGGGGCGGATCAGCAGGATCAGCGGCTGTCCCGGATTCTGGATTGCAGTTATGGTGGCGTGCTCTTGGATTTAATGGCTCAAATGGAGGCCTGTTGACTCCCACTCTTCCGGCCTTTTTGAAAATTTTGTAATTACCTAATTCTGTTTGACATACCTAATATGGGTCCTGTTTTTTACATTAAACCCTGATAGGTACAGAGACTGGCTGAATTATTTGATTAAAATAAGGTTTAAAAGTGATTGGGCATTTAGTTAATGTGGGGATCTCGAGTGGAATCTCATGAATGAGAACAGAGTGGTGCGTTTTTCCCACACCTGTGAGTTTCAGTGCAGTTAGTGTTGTGTTCTCACTACAGGAATATCGGCGACACTTTTCAGCTTGTTTCTGCTTCACCATATGTGTTCTGGAGATGGAGTTAAGAGCCTTACAAAGTGTTCTGTTCTACTGGGCACCAGAATCATCTATTTGTTTCCTTGGCTGTGGTTCAGTTGAGTTTGTTGGGTTTTTGGCATGTTTTTACTTTTAAAAACTTGGTTCATATTTTTAGATATAAAAAAATTTGTGAGATTTAAATTTTCCCATTTTAACAGAGAGATTAAATATTAGTGCTTAGCACAGAGAGAACCAATATTTAGCAAGCACCTGCTAGACTGTACTGGGTACTTTATTTTATCCTCATAATTACTCTGTTTGGTCAATGTTGTCATCTGTGTTTACAGATGAAAAAACTGATTCTAAAAAGTTTAAGTGATTCACTGAGACACAGAATTATTTAAAATAACTACAGAATCAAAACAATTATATTATTTTAGTATTTTTCTAGGCCAAAGAAAATTAATCAGTTTACATTCTATTTGTAGAAGTCCAACTTTTATGTGACACCAGGTTTAAATATTTAATTATTACTATTTGTTTTCTATTTTTCTGTTGTCTGTTGCATTTCCATTATTGAGGCTTTTACATTAGAACTACATGGTTTATACAACATTTATGAATAACCAACATGTACTTATTAATTGGAATTTAAATTTGTTATTATTTTTATTGAAAATCATTAAGCCACTACTAAAAACTAATTCAAAATAAATTAATTCTTGTATTAATGTTATAGCTTCATATATATTGATAAATGTTATAAATAAAATACGCGAGTAAGAGAAATCATTTGGTTCTGTCTACATTCAGGTAGGTTGAGGCATTGATTATCAGTGATTTTTGTGTGTGTCTACAGAGTAAGGGTGAAAAGTGGGTTTGCAGGTATATGAAGGCCTTCACCTTGCAGGCAGCCGGTGCCTGCAGCCTTTTGTGGGAGGCGGGGGTGCACACACGTGTTTGCGTTCACGTTCCTGACACATCTACCTAGACCTCAGAAAGCGGGTGGAAATCAGGTGAGGCGCCAGCTTTGCAGAACACAGGGCTCTTTCTCTGGGTGGAGTTTCTTTGCCGCTGTAAAATTCGTGAGACGAGGAGGCTGGGCGACTGGCGTGAGATGTTGATTTTTCTCTCCCTTTGGCTATTTATTTATTTATTTATTTTATCCTCACCCAAGGACATGCTTATAATTTTAGAGAGAGCGGCAAGGAAGAAGAGACAGAAGAAGAGAAACACTGATGTGAGACAGAAACACGGATGGGTCCCGCAACCCAGGCGTGTGCCCCGACCGGGAATCCAACCCTTGACCTTCTGGTTTGCTGGACAGCCCTCAGCCAACCGAGCCACACCATTCAGGATGTTTTCTCACTCCGTTTTTTTTTAAAGCAGGCTCTGTATTTAACTGAAATGAACTAATAAACTATTTTAATTTGCCGCATTTTTAAAACCATGAACAGATACCATAATGCTTAAAAGAATGGACTTTGTGCTCTTTCCTAATCCTTTGTCTCCTGCCATCAACTATTTTGCCCTTCTTCTATTTTAAAGACTTTGCTATGTATGATATTCATTGAAACATATTAGTTCCACAAATCCAAATGAGGTATTTATTGGAGTTGCTTTTCTTCTCTTTCTTAGTCCTCCTTTGTTCTTTTTTTTGTACCTCATTGCACCTCATTCTACCCCCACACAGTTGAAAAGAAAGAGGGAAAGAGAACCAGGTGATGTCGGGAAGGAAGTGGGGACTTTCAGAAGGCAGAAAACGACAGGACAAGCCTGCTTATGTTTCCTCTTGTCACAGCATATATTATTACGTGTGGACAGCAACATCTCACATAAGTTTTTAGTAATTAGTTTCTACCTTCCCAAAGCCTTTTCTTTCTCCCACAAGAAGCCAGGAATATAGAACACAGGACGTGTAACCAAAATGACAAATTTGGGAAATTAGCATTTTAAAAAAACAGCTTTTGGTATATATATACATGCGTGTCTATATTTTAAATCCCATATCCCTTCTATTGCAAGAATATTGGGCAATGAGCCGAATGGTTTTCACACTTTAGTAATTATCCTACTAAAATTTGATTCCTGATTTTTTTCTGAGACAACATACATCAGTATAAAGAGTGCTGTACTAAGAGCATATTGTTAGGGGATTTGCTTTCCATTATATATTGGTGTACTATATGAACAGTATTGTTAAACTATATATACACTTACTAAACTAGATCTTTTTAGCTAAAAATGAATGTAACATTGCTGTGAATACCAATTAATGACATAAATTAAAAAAATCTGCTCTTCTGTGCTGCACAAACTCACTAGATATTTACTTATTGAATGGATGAATGAATAGGTGAATGATGAACTGTCCTCAGAGATACTTGGAGAAAACCCAGTTTCTATTCTGCTACAGTAAAATTTGGGAACCTAAGGTACATATCAAAATCACAGGTTTTCAGGTTCCTCTACTGGAGATTCTGATTTCTTTGGTAAATATGGGGCCCATCTATTTTCTGTAAGTGCCCTAAGTGAGTCTCAGTACAAGTTTTGGAAGAATTGCATTGTGAGATTCATCCCAGTCTTCTTACACTGCAGTGGAGGACAGCCAGCATTAGTAATGGAAGATCCTGTCCACCGAATGGAGCATATTTCTTTCCTCTAGCAGAGTTGTTGACTGTTAACAATCGGGCAATCCAAACCAGTCAAGATTAATGGAAGCGCCCCCTAATTTAAGGGCACTTTGCTTATAGCTCTCTTATTACACTGATTGTAATTGTTTTTGCACTATGCGTATTTATACATGTATTTTATTTCCTTATCAGAATATGTTTGGATAAAACCTTCTTAACCTATGTTATTTTTTTATATACTTCAGTGACTACTAAGGTGCTTTTAATATAGTTAAAATGTGGCTATTACTGGCTGCAGTGTGTAAAGTATATAAAATATAAAAACATTATTTATACCGAGTATTAGTTATAATTTAACTTTTTTAAAAAGGGGGCTAGGCCCACCAGTTTGAAATCTGAACAATGTCCCCCCCTCTCCTGTGTTCTCAGATCCCTCTAGCATTGTCGCGGGAGGGAAGGCAGGTATCCAGGGGTGAGGTCTGGATGGACATGGTGGAAAAGTCCAAGTTTGCTGAATGCACTAATTTGTCATGGTGCTGTTTTAGGCTTTTCTCAGTTCCCCAGAATTCTTCTTAAGAAGAGAGATCTGCAGTGAAATATATTTGAGAAATACTGCATTTTATCTCCTCACTTGGAATTAATAATACATGCTAGTATGATGAAAGGAGGACTCAGGCAGTATAGAAATGTCTTTGATTTTGTTCAACACCCTTAATAAGATTCCATACAGTTTGGAAAGTGTTTGCTTTTGCATTTGCACATGACAGAGTATG